GAAGGTTAGTGGAAGAGTAACTCACACCGGCGGGAATTTCCCATTTTCCATATCGTAAGTTCTCGTTGGGTGCGGTGCGAGCTAGTCGACTTGAGACGCCGTAGGAAAGACTTTTGTTCATTACTATCTAGTCATCTTCAGGTCGCATAAAATATCAAACTCACCGTAACCCTTCAAGCGCACAAGCGTTCTGGATCTCAAGTCAGCCTCGTACACCCCTCAATTATGATCCTAGCACACTCACCAAATAAACCAATCTCTCCACCATCCCCAGCTCCACTTTCTTCAACTCCCCATCCTCTCTCCTCTCCAATCCCACACCTCTCAATTCTTCCCTCAACTTCTCGCACCTCACCGCGTCACTAGCTAGATAATACATCAAAATCATCAAGGTGTGAGCCGTCGTATCCGTACCCGCCCCAATGATATTAATAGCCTCCTGACTCATATTAGAGAACTTCTTTTCGCTTTCCGGTAAAGAAGAGGAGAGGAAATTATGAAATATGGTGCGTGGGAAGCCATCGATAGGGGCATCGACTGGGAGGATGGTGCCAGAGAGGATTTCGCGGATTTGGGTGCGAATTTTCTGAGAGGATTTGTGTTAGCTGGAAATTAGTGAGGAGAAAGAACTAGAAGAAAGGATAGAGGAAAGACGAAGTACGTTGTGATGATCGAGCGTGAGGATGACGCTCGGAGCAAATTCATTTAGGATCCAGTGCGGGGTATGTTCCATCAAGGTATAAATACTTGGAAAAAATTTGGCCCATTTTGATATGACAGATAGAGCAACAAAGGTTTGTGCCCATGAGGGGTTGAAATCTGGAGTCTGTAGGGTTCTATTAGAAGTGTTTTCAAATGAGAAGGGTAAGATGTACATCGAGATGGTTCCAACAACGGTTGGTTGCGTAAAGTGTAACGATATCGGCCGTGTAACATTGAAAGGGAAGACGAACGATAAGCGGTTGATTCGTGTTACGGAACTCTTCGAGGCGTGATGAGAGTTTCTCGACCTGTGGACAGATAGAGATGTTAAGACTGACCCGGAGCACTTGCAATTGGTATGAAAGGAAAACATTTAAACAGCCATTGGGAGTAGACGAATGCCTCAGGTTTGACAGTCCAGTGGAGAGCAGACTTACCATAGAAGTTAACATAGGAGAAAGGCGATCGATCGAAGCTTTTGAGAAGAATGGATTGAGTGCAGACCTCCTCATTCGATGAATATAGTGATCCTCGGCTCCGAATCCAGTATCTGGCGTGTTGAACTGTGCTGTGTAAAATGGATCTTTGTTTCTCAAGCCATTATAAGAGAATAGGGTGTTGTAGTATTCGGGATCATTGATATGAATTTCATTTGGCCCGATCCGGATAATTGGACCTAAGGAGAGTATTCAATACGATGGTACTTGGTCTTCTGAAGTATCGATTGGCCAATTCACATACCATATTTTTCGTGCCATTGTGCAATCTTGAGGAAGTACTGGCCTGATTGGATGCATTCATGATAAAATTCCGACCAGAGGGTGACTGCAGGCAATATAGGGCCCGGAAATCTGGATAATGGGTGGAAGTAAATACGATATACAACGCCCAAGATGCAGTAAATAAGAATTGAAGTTCCAAGAATAGCTACCACGTCAAATCGACTGATATCAGAGGACAACATGTTTAAAGACGAATTAAATCAACGACAAACGATCAAAATCCGAGTATGGTAATGAAGAAGAATTGAGAAAATTCAGAGTGATGGTAATAGAGGAGATATAAAGACATGATTGCACACCATACTGTATACTATATTCAAGCACCGTCACCGTCACATGGAGAACAGCAGCCTCAACAAATTGGAGCATCAACATTTCACCCTTGTCAAAAAGCAAGCAGCCATTTTTTGAGAGCGGCACTTTCAGATGACATACAAATTTCCACGTTTTACACACGAGCAGCCCAATTGGAATTTGCGTAAATCTTGTAGCTTACATAGCGTGTTGTATTCCGACGTCAATCTAGCATCATAAGAAGTTAAGTTGTTTTGCGTAGGCTAAGTACTTCGCTGGTAATCATGTAGTACTCATAAATGCATACATGGTTGCAAGAAGTCTTATCGGTGCTTCTTTGGGACCTTTCTGTGCAACACGCCACCGGTAACGAGAAAAACATGACGGGTAAAGACATTTTGTCAATACCAATTGGTAAGATAGACCATATGAAACAAGGATACATATGTAGCTGTGGTGCCATGATTTCTCATCCTCAGATATTTGGTATCCACCCAGAACAGTTGGGATGGATGCCCGCACATGCTTAACTGAACGGTATTCGTTAGATCATATGTTTGTAACTCGTGATATGCAGAGGAGATTTGCATCGGTATTCACCTCACCCGGAAATGATAGACTCAACATAACATGTAGAAAGCATGTGCACAAAGAGGCAAACTCGCTGACTGCAGCAAAATATGCAAATGAGTTGGCAAGAATGAATTGGGAAGTGATCAAAGAAAGTATCATCATAAAGTGCCAGTGCGAGGTTCACTACATGCCATGCACTTGCCCGAATCACGCGATTGATATTGTATCTCGGACCGCTACCGAATTGCACTCGGAATTCCTCATCGGAAACTTGACTAAAACCAATCAAGCTACCCTTACACGAATTGCTATCAAGAACCATTTGATGTAAACCAATTGTACAAAGTTATATTAGAAATCAGCCTATGGCAAAGTGTAACTGAGAACCAAGCACCAAAGAACGCCCCCGTCGAAATGCAAGGAGTCTATCTGAACTTGCTAACAATAACAGCGATGATAAGAAGAACTAAGACTGTTATAATGGCCACGGTGATTATCCGGTTGGTAGCCATCCTAAAAGAGGGTGGTCAGCGTGACATTCTCGGCAGTTGTGAGTGGAGCAAGGGACGATTTACCTACGAGACATCCCCCTCAACGTCTTTACACTTCTATCAACAAACCCCTCGCTCTGTATCAATGTGTCATGTGTATGTTGAATGGTCTCTCTCTGTCTATGTAAATCTGCGAGCGTGCTAGCACCAATAGCCTCCGTCTCATTTGCTAATGCTTGACTGGCCTTTAATCTCTGCGAGCTTCGGTCTAGTCTGTCTGTCCCTGATAGAAGTTGTTGTCTTTGTTCGAGTTGAACATCGTTTGGATTATCAGAATAGCGCGAACCAAATAGAGCCGATCGGTCGTTTTGCAAAGTCTTCAATTTCCTCTTTGATACATCCACATCTGATTCATGATTTCGAAATCGTTGGTTAACTTTGGTACGAGTTGCAGAAGGGATATTTTGTTTCTCGAGTCGCATTTGATCAAGCTAGATAAGAGTAAGTACTAGATAACAAGCATTTTATTCTTGAACCTACCAATTCATTTGCCTCCTCTAATGCTCTCTCAGCTTGACTTATGGCAGCTTTACGAGGTTCTCCGGTAAGGTCAGGGATTTGGTCCAACTTTTGATTTAAATCGGCTTGAACGAGTTTGAGCTCTGCTTCGTAACTGCTGAAGAGCTCCGAGCCTGCATCGGTATCGAGAGGATTTGACATGATTGAAAATGGCGGGTGATGAAATCAATGGGTGTGAATGTGATGGGTATTGAAAAGGAGATTTGGATTATTTCAAAGAATAATTATTAATGACCGGTGCCTTCTGATGGCGTCGTAATGCGGCAATGTAACACTGAGCAAGCAACGCAATACTTCCTTCCTTGCCCGGTTCAAAGTCAAAGTCAAAGTCAAAGAGTATGAGAGTATGAGAGTATGAGAGTATGTATGTATCACAAAACCGTGGGATGGAGAGGGGGAATTATGATAGATGATAGGTCAATAGGTTGTCTATTGAATAATGTATAATGTACAGTTGTGTTTTGATTATTGTTGTTAATGCATTGACAATTCAAGGAAGGGGAAAGGAAAGGGAAACTGGAAGTTGCGACGTCTAAAACAACATTACCAGGTACCTACGTACACAGCTTAATCAATGTCAGCCTTGGGGAGTGTAGTTGTGGCTCAGATCACGAATGTGGCTCAAGGATCATGTGATGTGATGCATGTGCCACTTGTCATAGGTGTCATCGGATGTGTGAGGAGTGTTTGGTTTGCTTTTAATCCATTTGTGCCATTTGGATGTTTTCTGTTTCTGTTACTTGTGCCCCGTTCCTTCATCGGCGTTAATAAAATCCGATCGTCCGAGGTTCGCCCTTTGAAAGCTACAAGAGCTTACCTATCGATCCTATCTCGATCTATCTACCTAGATAGTATCGATCTAGTATCGAGCTATTCCGTATCCGCCCTCGTCCCTCGTCCTCGTACCTGGCTTAACCTTAGCCCCTGCTCTATTTTTCTGATCTTCACATCCATCCCACCAAGTTTCAGCATCGTAATCGTATGGATTGAAGCTTGAGCACAGATGGAGGAAGGGGGACTAGCTCGAGAGAAGAGAGAAGAGAGAAGAGAAGAGAAGAGAAGATTGAAAAAAGATGAAGAGGAAGAGGAAGAGGAAGAGAGGGAAGGAAAGAAAAACTTGTCTTTTCATCAAGCTTCTATAACAAATCATTCTTCTACTTCTCCCTTCATAAGACCTCAATCTACATCTTCATCTTCATCTTCATCTACATCTATATTTATATCTACATCTACATCTACATCTATATCTATATATATCGAACTTTATTACAGACCACTCAAATAGTACTCCGTACTCGTGTAGTAAACTTCAACCAAAAAGTCAATTGAACACTCACACAAAAGAAATCATTCAAACAATGCCATCATCAACTAGTTCTCCAAGCTACGAGCACACTATTTCCAATACCAATACCACTACCGCTTCAGCTGCAGCTACCCCCGCCACCACTCAAGAGAAGCCGCTTAGGACTGACATGTGAATATTCCATTCTTTTACATCTTCTTGATTATTGTCTATTTTTTTCTCTCTCTTCATCTCTTTCCTTTCCTTGTCTATCTTGCATCTTCCTTCATAATCATGTCCGCCGGCCTAACTGATCGATTCCCTAGAAAGAAAGTCGCTATCATCGGAAGTGGTTGCGCTGGAATCGGGGCTCTATGGGCTTTAAATCGAACGCACCATGATGTTTACATTTACGAAGCTGCGGATCGATTAGGAGGTCATACAAATACTGTCAAGTATCCTCATAATGGCAAAACAACTCCAGTTGATACAGGATTTATAGTCTTGAATACTGCTACGTATCGTAAGTTAATCCCTTGCCCAATCCCGCGCTACACACAGGATTCACAAATAGTCCCGACTGGCAGATTAGATGCAAGTTTCCAATGTTAAAAAGCAATTCGATACTCGGAAGAAACTCTGCATTTCATGCCAATTGGGTCTTTTGATTAAATTGAGAATTTGAAAGCATCTGATTGTTGGACTGCAGTCCGATCCATTGCCATATAACACTCCAGAACATATAGGCTGACAAACATGTTATAGCGAATTTCATAGCTTTCCTGAATACCCTCAATGTTCCTACCGTACGTACTGAAATGACCTTTGGGGTCTCTCGAGATAAGGGATTATTCGAATGGTCAGGAACCTCACTCTCATCAGTATTCGCACAACGAAAGAACCTCTTCTCATTAAGGATGTGGAGAATGATATTCGATATCATCCGTTTTAATCAATTTGCTTTGGACTTGTTGAAAGATGAAGAGAAGAGTGAGGAATATGTGAACGGGTATGTGAATGGGAATGGAAATGGAAATGGAAATTCAAAGAACATTCATCATGCGGAAAAACAAGAGACTATAGGTCAATATCTGGATAGGGAAGGATATTCGGATGCATTTCGAGATGATTATCTTATACCAATGACTGCAGCTGTGTGGAGTACAAGTCCGGATAAGTGTTCTCTAGAATTCCCAGCCGTCACGTTGGTCCGATTTATGTAGGTCGAAATTAAGGGCATAGTTTATTTGAACATTACTAACAAGCTTAGGTGGAATCATCATCTATTGAGCACTGTCGCTGCTCGTCCTGACTGGTTAACGGTAAAGAATGGAGCGAAAACCTACGTGGATGCCGTAATGAAAGGCTTTCCACCAAATCACATCTTCCTCTCTACACCCGTCGAGTCAATACGCAATGATGATGATAATCGTATACGCCTATGTCTCGAGAATGGCAAGGAAGAGATATTTGATCATGTCATAATAGCTACTCATGGAGATATCGCATATAATCTGGTCCGATCCTCTTCCACATCCACCGAACGTCGCATTCTTACTGGATTTCAAACCTCGAAAAATACAGCTGTCCTTCATTCCGATCTTTCTCTCATGCCTCAAAATAGAGAAGCTTGGTCCGCTTGGAATTATATTACTGCTTCTTCTACTTCTTCAACCTCGAAATCTAGAAATGTTGACCAAGTTTGTCTGACATACAATATGAATATTCTTCAGCATATTCCGACCTCCAAATTTGGTGATGTTCTCGTCACACTTAATCCTTTATTTCCACCAAAACCAGAACTCACACACAGTACATACACATATCGTCATCCACTTTACAATACTCGTGCTATAACCTCTCAGTCCCAACTTCCAGAAATTCAAAACACAAGAAATATATCTTACTGTGGAGCATGGACCAAATACGGATTTCATGAAGATGGCTTTAGTAGTGGAATCAAGGTAGCAATGGATCACCTAGGTGCTACTCTTCCGTTCGAGTTTAAAGATAGTACCTTTAGTCGAGGTAAACGTCCTGTACTTGGGTTGAGTGATTTGATCTTGAGGATTTTTATTTTGGCCATTCAATGGTTTGTGGTTAATATACTAGAGAGAGTCCTTTTTATCGAGAGAGGCAAATCTCAAGTGGATGTCAAAAGGAAGAAGTTTGTTTGAACTGTTATGGATGAATAGGCTATCAAAGATCGAAAAGGATTTGATGACCTGAGAGAATGAAAGGAAGATTGCATATGTTTGATGTTTATGAGGAGTATGGAGTATTGGGAAAAGTACCATTGTTAGGTTCAAAGCGATGCTCTAAGATATACATTTACATTACATTAATACTATATTGTTCAAGTAACCAGAATCGGTATCGAAGTGTCGTTTCTGTTGAAATAGTAACATAATCATATAGTAGCATAGCATAGCATAGCACAGCATAATCTCCACACAGCAAGATAATCATGTACTCCCAAAGAGGGCTCAATATTATAGTATCCCATGTTAGTGGCTCTTTGTGCTCTTGCTTTGTGACGTATACGTACCTATCTATTGCAATCATGTTAGCGAGGGTATCTATCCAATTCTAAGACTATTGAGAAGAAAAGAGAATCATTAACCTGCAACCTGCAACCTACAACCTCCCCCCTTTCCCTTTCCCTTTCCCCTCACGATTCCATTCCTACCCGATCCTCAATATAGATACTGTACACATAAATAACGGCCGCCTACCAAATCCCTCCCTACTTTCATATATCACCAAAGATAAAAACGACAATAAAAAGATGGGGGCAAGCCCCCAAGCCCCCGGTGCTCGCTGCGCTCGAAGTTTGGGAGTCTTGTGTGTGTGTGTATTTTTGAGGGAGGGGAGTGTGATATTGTTATTTTCGTGTGGTTTGATGTAAGTTGTTATAGTGGATGGAAGTACCCAGGTGTGTGTGTGGTTGTTCTGCTTTATTGGGCCTTGAATTTGGGGGTAATGTATGTTTTCATTTCTGTGTTTTCTCGTGCTATCCCATCTGCTTTCCTCTCGTCAAATTCTACCCTAATCTCTGTTCTCAAAGACTCCGCACTTCTTCCCACCCTTTTCCCCTGTAACCATACACCATACATCTCAAAAACACCCATTGACTCGTACACCCTTCCTTAAACCCCCACCCGCTCACTCACAAGTAAGTAGGTAACTTCTCTCCCTCCATACAAACGTAAACACATCCGCGTAAATCTTTTTAATCCGAGTACCATTTACATAAATATCAAATTAACATTCTTCTACGTACCTAGGTATCCTACTAGGTAACAGGTACCGGGTCAAGATCTTTTTATCCCAAACCCGTACTCTCCCTAAAACATCTATTCAAGTAACCTCAAGCCAATATTCAAACTTTCCCAAGGCCATCAACGATTCTTGTTCCACCACCGTCCGAGCATTTCATTCCACTCCACCAATACTTCATTTCAACGCCATACTGTACCATACCATCCCATCCCATCATATCCATAAAAAAAATAAGAAATCCATACCCATACCCATAATCCATCCATACCAAGGCAATGCCATCCCAATACAAATGAAAATCCTCAAAACATTTACTTCCCGCTACCATAATATCCCTTTTCGCATCACATCTCATCTCAGAACTCCATCCATGAAGCAAATTCATCCCGTGGACCCTTAAGCGCAAATCGTGAATCATATCCCATCATATCCCATCCATTTACCCAGTATGCCAATCCTAAAAATCGACATGCGTGTCATGAAATCGAATGGTATAGTACTGTGTCCTATTTTACCATCCGAAAACTCTATCCAAATAACAATCATGCGTGTATTCGTAACCCTGAATCGTGTTCAAGAAGATCTATCCGGCTGTAACATTCCAACGGCGTGCTATCACCCAACTATTCGAATCGAATCGTTCAAACCGCCACATCAACTTGAGACAATGACGAAATGATGATATGGATAAGAAGATTATCTGGCGTGCGTTACATTTCTCTAGGTTGTGTTTGTCTTAATATTTATAGGGCGATTGTCGCTTTAACTCTACGAGGAGTTAGAGGAAGGTACTTATTGCAATCTTCTTGCTGCTCGACGTTCCTGTCTCGCTCGACTCTCCCTATCGAATCTTGGCTGCTCATACCATTTAAAAGTATGGCCATCTTCTCTCTTCACATCGATCATTCTCCTGCCTCTCTCAAACTGTTTCCTGTAATTTCTCCCACAGCTTCCACAATAATTTGGATCGGATTCCTCGGGCTCTGTGAACATTTGACATTGTCCAGCGCAAAAGGTAAGATGTGATGGCATGAAACTCGTAAGATGAAAATGTAACTCGCAATGTGCTGGGAAAAAAGCGACAGGACAACAGTGACGGCATGAACGTTGGGGTCCAGGTATGACGGGAAATGTACTCTCCGGTCGGCCCATCGCAAGAGGTGGGTTGAAATCAATAATTTGATGACGACCATGTGAGAGATAGACGTTGCGAATATATTTACTATATAAAAAAGTTAAAGAATGATCATACGATGGATTTTGGGTGATACAAACTTCATGAGACTGAAACAGACTGCATCAATCGGATTAAGATACTTGAAGATTCCCATGATAATCTCCGGAGGTGTAGTAATGAATGGATTGTGCTTCTTCTCACCCAACTCTAGGTTATCCTTTATAATTGATGAGTCCTCATCGCTATAAGGGGGAGATATCGGTGATACTGCAGGTGTTAGTGCCAATGGAAAGATCATTTTAAGAATTTCTTCCTCAAAGGGTTTCAAATATTCTACATGACTTCGTTCTTCGAATAGATCTGAACCAGCTTCCTGAATCACACTAATCGGAACGTGGGCCATGTTATAAGATGTATTCGAAGAGGAAGAAGAACGGCGAGATAGCAAAGGAGTTACGTGAGGTGATTTCGGATCTTCATCGTCAAGACGGATGTTTGCACCAGCCTCACCAATCTTTTTCGTGGCCATCGTTTGGATGATAATTTGAGTGACAATTATCAGGTGACCGCTATGGAATGGTAAGGTAAGATTACTTGGCTGCGTGAAGAGTGAGCGTAGGCCTTTAATCACCCAAGAACTAGGCAAGCATAGGAATTACTGACCTACTTGAGAATGAAGAACGAATTCCAAACCGAGGTCGAATTCTGACAAAGGGATATGGAGAATGATATTGCTGTTATCAATTTCAATACGGAGGTTACCTTCTCGGACCCCGAAGTAAATGAACAGTCTGTTAGCAAATTGTAGTAAGGTAGGTTACTGCAGTCAATACAATCGAGGAAAGGGCGAGCTAATGAAGTAGGGAGTGGTGGAGGTTCAATTAAAGCTTGTTTGTTGTTTAAAGGAGTTTAACTGGTTAACTCTGCTTACCAAATTAGTCCACGGGTGAATGAATCACTTCATTCTTCTACAATTCTATTTTGAATGGATTAACAAATACCTACATACCTACCTAGGTAGTGAATAATGAATCAGTTATGAGACATATTGAAATGCTTTCCTATTTATGGTCAAGTGTCCGATTTCCCGTGAAGCTTCTAAAATTCATCATCATGTATGGTAAGCCACTGCTCATCACATATACTGCAAGAGACAATTTGCAGTTTTAGATTATCAGGTAGAAGGAAGAAGGAAGACGGCAAACGTAATGTCAAATAGGATTGGAAAGGCAGGAGAGGGAGAGAGAGAGAGAGAAGTGTTAGTGACAATAGACAGTTAAACTATGATAGCTACTTGTACCATAGTAATACATCCTAGAATAGCTGAATAGATATCCAAGTAGTCAAAACTACAGCAAATACTTATACCATAGCAATACAAACAACGCAAATTTATACACTCTAGAGCTTTTAACTCCTCCCAATGCAAATGAATATAATGCATCTCATACTTCTTTTACATACCAACAGGCATAGCTTTCAGATGCCCATTCTTATCATATCTAGCCTCTGTTGAATATATTAATATCTTTCTCACCCTCATATTTGAATCAGAAAACGACTTACTGAAAAATGTATAACTCAGAGTAACCTGCTCAATCCCTCTCATATTCGGATCATTGACGAAATCCGGATCAATATAGAAAAACACTGGCATATCAACCGTTTCCCCAGCATTCAACCTTTGCTCCTCGAAACAAAAGCATTGAATCTTGCTAAAATATGGAGCCACTTGCCCAGGCGTCACACTGTAAGTGGCCACCCCAATTATATCCTCATCAGATTTATTCGTAGCAGTATAAAATGCCAGTGCCGTTTCTCCTGGTAAAACTCGAACTTCTCTCTGTTGTGGTGTGAATTTCCATGGTAGAACATCCGAAACAGAACCATTAAAGGTTACTCGTATACGTTTTGCAGAAGTGACAGGTCTGAGTCTTTCGGATGGATCTTCTCCCTCTACACCACTGCCGCCATGTCCGGGTGCTTTGATCGGTTGCCCTCCCCATCCTGTAGTCTGGCAGATCTGGAGAAGTATATATTAGCTGGGGAGTAGTGAAGTGGCGTGTCATGAGATATACCATTTTATACATTGGCACAGAACCATATGAGAAGGCTACAGTTCCTAGAATGATACTGAGTGTATAGTACATAGTCGAACTATTCTTTTGTGAGAATGGCGCTCTCAATTGTTCCATCGTTGGAGCTACATTCCCTCGGGGGGTTGAATTATTGGAAATACTTCTGCTTATTGAAGGTTTGAAAAATGGTGTATTTGTTCGCTTTGATTTCGCACATGATGTACATATCCAATTGGCATTTTTGCTACTCAGAGCTCTCGATATCCGTGGTATAGAATTCATTATGTGATTGGAAAGTTGTCTGTTAATATAAAATCGAATGAATGATTGAGAAAGATTATTGACTAAGACCGGATCATGATCGGGATTTGAATGAGTAAGATAATCCGGGCCCGAAATCTGGGGAAATTATTCGGTATCACTCGGGATGTGTTTACTATGTCTGACAGCAATATGATGTACAGCAATACAGCAATACAGCAACGAATCCTTCCAAGATTCTGAGACATTGATAAAGGCATGAAATCTTTAATTTCTGAAAGTATCCGATTTACCACCGATTATTGGAAATTAGATATATCATGACATCCTATTCAATACTGTCAAATGCGGAATCTTCTCCTTCCTCTGCAAGTTGATTACAAAGGAAAGAGGGGTGAACCAGCTGGCAGTTGAACTAACATCTTTCAATGACATCAAGACAGAGCACTGAGATGAATCCAGACAATTCCAAGGGTTATAAATCTCATCATAAAGAATTCATCCAATTGCCCCCCAAAATTCATATAAAACTCCTCATCTCAGTCCCTTATTCCTACTCATCATGCTTTCACCAGCCATCCGCAATTTACTTGTCAAAGGAAGTCAAAACACCAAATATACTCCCCGTCTACTCTCCACGTATAGAAAAACAACTTCATTCAAGATTCCCATTCCATTGAGTATCCAAAGTCGCAATATGGCGTCTAAAACCCCCAATTCATCGCCCCCTTCCCACGATATGGTCTATTTTCCTCAAATGACCTCGGATCTTCCAGCTTCCTCCCATGAATTTCGTAGAGTACTTGTATGTCCATCAAAAATTTCCTTTTTTCTCATAACATTGCTTCATCCAACTATATGCCGTCCATCCCAATGCAACATACCGCTCCTCTCCCTTCATTTCCACCTCGTTATCTCCCTACCACCACCCACCATTTCATCCAACTTTAGACTAACACTCCCCCAGTTCACAGGTCTCTACTCCCAGGTCGTCCTCATGACCATCCCCGTCGGCGGCGACATAGGTGACGAAGTCCACACAGTCGACCAAGCTCTCACCTTTACTTCCGGCACTGGCCTCGCCACCATCAACGGTAAAAACCAAGAAGTTAGAAAGGGAGATTTGATGGTCGTACCAGCGGGAACTCAGCATCAATTTGTAAACACAGGGAAGGAACCATTAATTTTGTATACGATTTATTCGCCAGCAGAACATGCGCCAACTACGGTGCATAAGACGAAGGAGGAAGGGGATAAAGAGGAGGATGAAGGAAAGGATGAAGCTCCGGCTTGGTCAAGGAAGAGTAAGGAGGAGAATGAAAAAGAGGGATTGGTAAAGTTGAGTGGGAAATATGATTAGAAGAGGAAGAGAATGAGAAATAAATTACGAGATTAGTGTTGATGGGAGATTTGCGTGGTAATCTTGAGATATATATCAGTTGAGAATGATAGGTGTAAAAGAAATGAATTCTGAAGAATAACCCATATTTTGTATCATGATACCTTTACCTTGTTTCAACAGTCTTTAAACTCATCTCGAAATTCTCCTTCCTTTTTATGACTTTACACCAACCCATATACATATCTTCATAAAATTCGAGAATCCAATTCCAAAGTCGTCTAATAAAAACGCCCCTCCTCTCGGTCCCGCCCATCTGCACCTATGACTAACATCCACCCCACTCCACTCCTCTTTTCCACCCACAATCAAAAAAGAAAATATATACATAAATAACTCGTGCTCTTCCATCAAATCATGCAACAAAATAAGCAAGTTGGCGCAGTGGAAGCGCGCCGGGCTCATAACCCGGAGGTCCCCAGATCGAAACTGGGACTTGCTATGTGTGATAAAAATATCTTTTTGCCAACTTTTTTGTTGTGTAGGAACGGGGGATGAAATTCTTTTGATTTTCTAATTTTTCTGGGGGGGAAGTAAGGAGGGAGGAAAAAAGAGAAAAGAGGAGAGATTGTAGTCAAATGAGTGAAAATTAACGCATATGAGGGAGGGGAGGAGGAATTAATCGATTTTATCGTCTCCAAGTTTTTCTTTCTTTTCGGTTGATAACCGAAGGCAATTTATCTTCACGATTCTGCATATCTGTGAGCAACCTTATGGAGTTTTTTTGGGTAATATTGATGACATTGATAGATTTACTTAGGGAGTTTCTTAATTTTAGACTATAGCGCGGATTAGGATGGCGATGTTATTAGAGGAATCTAGGAGAGGGTATTGGATATTATATCTTGAGAGAGGAAAATGATGATACGTATTTTCATGGTAGTTACAATTTCAAATAGGCCCGATGGAATGATGGAATCTATCTACAGGATGAGAGGGAGAGGGACTGTCTGTCGAGATTTGATTTAGAGTGGAATCTGGGTTAGTGTTCGGTTCATTGTATGTGAGGATTTGGAAGTGTTTGAATGTCATTTTGAGCTTCTGAGACGAGGTTCAGGGGATTCAATTTCGCGAGAGGAAGCAAGCTTAATTATAATTACTCTACAATTCTCCCATATCAAATACTCCCCATACAATTCCCAGCCATGTAAGTTTCCCCATTGCAACAACCCAAGAGCTTAACAGCAAACTACATATTATACGTCAGACTGATATCCCCACAGTACAAATCAATATTCAAACATCCTTCAAACTCCCAATAATACCCAACAGTGCAACGATAGCCGCAGCGGCCGTCACAATATACAAAGCTAATGTCCAAGCTGTGATCACATCACCGGTTACTGCCATAAACCAGGTTCCTACTATTAGACTGAGGAGTAGCGGGGTGATGACTACGGCGCTGAGTCGATATGGACACCTGTTTATTTGTTTATATGTTAGTATCTCATCTCAATTTTTATCAAAACCAGAGATCAAAGAAGAAAAAAAGAAACCAACTTACCAGTCATAAACCAACTCCAAACTCCACCTCCCCTCCAACGGTCCTTTAGCCCTCTTTGCACTCTCCCCCTTCCCGTCCTTTTTATGACTCCCTTCATTCAAACTCTTCTCAACCCACCCCAGCCACGCCCTCCCTAAATCCTCATCCCACTCTCCCCTCCCAAACCACGGAATACTCCTCCTCTTCACCTTATACGCCGCATAAAACTTCCTCAACACCATTTTCTCCTCCTCCTTCAGCCCAATCTTGGTATGCGCACCGCGTTCAATATCGCATTTATACAGACCAAACCCCGTGAGCGATTTGAGGGAGAAAAAGCGTCGAGCGCCTCGGAGAGAGCGCTCGGCGTGATGGAGAGAGGAGAAGAGAGTACGTGGGTCGGAGAGGGAAATGTAGGTTTCGTGGGGATCGAGGGAGGAGGTAGGGAAGTAGCCGAGGACTAGGTACGGGGATTGAGGGGGGAGGAGGAGAGTGGTGAGGGCTTGGAGGGAGGAAGTGGTGGCGGATAAGGGACGACTGAAGATTGGGCAGGAATTGGAGGATGGGTCGGGGTGGGACTTCTCGGGTTGTCTCATTCTGCTGGTGAGTTTGTGTAAGCACGAACGAGAGTGAGAGTGGGTGGCGGAACTATGAGAATGTGTGCTTGCTGGGGAAGAGATAAGTTGATGAGCGGGAACCAGATGAGTGAGTGTATCTGCAGTTAGTTCAGTTACCGATTGCGAGTCATCACCCGTTTGCGTGTCCTCGGATTCCGATGGACTTGAATTTTCCCCTGTGGTCGATTCTTCCAAAGTTTCAATTCCCATTTGGGAATTCCTCTTCCTCTCCTCCCTTTCCTCCCTCTTATACCTCAACCTATCCAGAACCCTTCTACAAGCCACCCACAAAATCCTTCTTTTCCTCGCCATCAAATAAAGCAACCAAAGTCTCGGTTCTTCCATCTTGCTCAACCACTCTACTCTCTGCTCCCACTCCTTCCTCCGTTCCACCTGCCACCATTTCAATTCTCTGAGTTTGCGTTGGAGATTATTCTTCTCCTCTCCAAAGGCATGGAACATGGGAGAATACTCCGAGTAATTGTAATTACCGGATTGCAATTGCAGGAAGAGGCGAGCTTCGTTGCAGGTGAGCCCCACGCGACGAGCGCAGGATTCGTCGGCCCAGAAGAGATTCCCGTTGGAGGATTTAATGACTGCGGGAACAGGTCCAAGGGTGGGTGAATCGGGGAATTGATGTGTGCTCATTGAGAAGTGGGCATGGTGGGAGGCTGAACTAGGGATGAGGGATTGAGAGGGAGAGGTACTGGTGCTGTTTATCGAAGAGAGGCTGAGGGTGGTGGGAGCACCGTCTTCGATATCGTAGGACATGATGATAGGGATACGGAAAGATAATATAATAGATCTCAAGGGCAAAGTATCAACGATCTTATGAGAATTTGGCTATGTGCACAAGTATCTAGAGATTGAAGAAACGAAGGCAGAAGAAAGACAGAACCAAAAACGAGAATGCAAATAGGACGAGAATCTTTCAGAATCCAAATGTCTGAAGACACTCAAGAACTCTGCGATAATGATTCTTCCAAACAAACGTCTCATCTCTCCCCCTTTATATTCTCGCATCCTCCTCCGCGCCTAAGATATGGCACCAAATGACCCTTTCCCCTTCATCCTCTCTCCCACCCAGCAACATCACGAAACAACTCTCTGAAAACTCTTTCTCTCTCTCCTGAATATTCACGATCAACGACAGTAACTCTCAAAGTTTATAACAAACTTTCCTTTCGTTTTTTATGATCATCGCTTTTCCTTATTGGTCGGAAGTGATCAAGATGACTTCTTGATCTCGTGAGCACTTGTCCTATGATCTACCGACTGATGGGATTGCAATATCACAATGTTAAGTTAGGAGGAAGTTAAGAGAGAGAAACAAAAATAGATTATTGGTAAAAATTGTGCCTTGTGAATCAATACTTTTTAGAATCAAGATGAAAAGCATTAGAACAGGTGAGTAAATAGCACTGAGTACTTTGCAATGAATACCTAACTAGGTACCTATATATCGATTCCGACCACCGAGCAAAATCGGATGAACCAATTGAGGATTGCCTATCGAATTGAGATGGGTGGAAAGATAGATGTAACTAGGAAGGCTTTTTTGTTCTATATTTTTATTTCACGTATTAAAAAGGAAGATGTGGTAACTTCCGAGCTTCCCTTAGCACCAGGAGTGGAACGGATAGAATGTGTTGATATGATAACCCACAAGTATTTCGGATAAGAGTCTCTGAAAATCAACTATTTATTGATTTATTCTATATTCCTTTTGCGTTTATTTACAACTTATCTCGCCATATATCAATCACACATCTAATAAATATGAAAGAATACTAGATACAAAATGACATAATTAGAAATTATACCTCATATCCTCTTCTATCCCATCAGCCCATACATATATTGTAAATAGAATCGAATAATCGAGTCATCTACCAAGTCATATCAAACAGTACAACTTCTTCATACATGTAACCGGTCTGATGTATCAAGACAGGTGAGCTTATACTGATGTTTATAAAATAACCTTTGTAGGTGATAAAATCATTTATCGTAAAACTATAAACTAGAGAGAATGTGATGTACCAGGTCTTTCACCACCCTCTTCTGACATATCCGAATCGGTAAATAGTTCCACGGACTGTGTTCGCCTATCACGATCATCATTACCCTCATCTATCCTGCCTCCTTCAAAATTTCCCAAAGAAATTCTCTTTCTACTCATCCTAATCGTTTCATCCGATGGAACATTATTATTTCCATCTCTGGAAATAGTTTCCTGTTCTATATTCCCATTCCCATTTCCATTCCCAAACATTACTGAATCCCCATTTGTCATTTCTCCACCCATCCAAATCGATGTAATCGGTGTTCTCTCCAACGCAGTCGTAGGAGTCGTCTGCGCATCACTATCCTCTCCATCTCCTATTGTCCATCTCCACTTTCTCTTCTTGTCCTTGCGCTTACGTTTTCGCAACCCGGGAGTTTCTAATCCACTTTCTGCCATTCTTCTTCGCATTTCTTCAAATGGTCCCGGAGTCTGTCCTCCATCGCGTGTTTCATCACCAGTGTATTGCATGGTTGTATCGAGAGTGTCTAAAGTCGCGAATTCGGGATCTGTGGCGGAATGAGGAGAGTCTTCGGATAGAAGATCGATGTGCGATTTTACATATTTATTAGTGGTGATGGTTTGGGTCAAAGGGTCATCGTATTCTACTTTCTTCGTGGCCTTGTTTGCTAATCGTGTTGCGAGTCGACTTGCAGTATTTGGTGTCGCAGGTGCGACGGCGCTTGGAGGTGGGAGTGGTGAGTTCCGAAGGATACTATGGAGAGATTTGGGATGTGTATATGGAGTAAGTCGTCTCATACTTCGCGGCGATGCACTATTCGAAGCTTGCGATGCAAAGGTAAACATCTTTTTATCGGATGAGCCAGCTGAATGTGGAGGGGTAAATGTGAAGTTTAGGGAGTCTTTGGGGTGAGCTGAATCTGGGTGAGCTGAACTTGGGGTATCAGGATATGATATCGCAAATGGGCCAGGAGTCGCAGTGCGCTCTGATGGATGTATATATCCATCTTCTGCTTTTATATTCGTTTGGAGTCGTGTCGTCTGAAGTCGTGAAGGCATGGGTTGAATTCTCAAGGAAGGTCTAGCTTCAAGGCTTGCCGGCTTTGATATTTGTGGTGAGGCATTTTCAATTGCTGTTGCGTATGCATTTGAAAGTGTATTAAATGCAGTTGGTGACGATGGATTAATGTCTGATTTTAATGCCGTGGAGGATTTTCCGATGGTTTGTGGAGCAGATGGGGTCTTGATCTGTAAAGACAACTTCGGTCTCTTTGGTGGTGACGAATGCCGAGGAGGGAAAGACATAATTATAGAGGAGCACTGTTGAACAGGTGCCAGCATCATAGTCAGAGATTTGGTAGGATTCTTAATAAACTCTTCCTTGAATGTATTCTGGTCCGTGGTACGAGAGTATATATTTGAATGTTGAGTGTTCGTCTAAGAATCGAGACTTTGATTTGGGTCACAAAAAAGTCGCAGGTGGCCTAGGTAGCTTAGATATAATGGATCTAATCTACCGATAACAAGGCGTAGTCGTAAACTTCGTCAAATGATTTCGTAATTTCGTAAGGCGGAAGACAAATAAGTAGGAAGAGAGAGAAAAAAGATATGAATAACTGCCCCTCAAGTGAAACCAACAGTGACCGTGCCGCAGCTATATGTATATCACCATCGACCTTTGCCTAGGCCAAGAAATAGATGAATAAAATAAAACTGGGGAGAAGTTCTGATGGGAGAGTTTAGAGTTTAAGCACAGTCTTATCACCTGTCATGCATCTGCTAATTAAGTTTGAATTGCTTATGCTTGTGAGGTATGGGAATAGGCGCGATGTTTATAGAAATGATGTGACGAGGGGCTTGCAGTGCAGGTTAAAAAAAACTGAACCAAGCAAATAGAAATATTTCATTGACTTCCACGTACTACAGGTTGACAAGCATTCGGGATGGTCATCAAACCACCTTACTAGGCTCATCTCATAGACCCATATAAGGATTCAATGGTTGTTGTGGCTCCTTGAAGCGCTGTGGAAGGATTTCCCGAGAAGTTGAATAATACAAGTATGAGGAGTTAGTTACCTTAGCTTAGTTTACGGAGCGATGGTCAGCAATACTCGAGTAGGACGTTTCTATGATAGTCAAGGTAGTAGTAGTCGTTGGATTAGCAAATTGGAGTAGTGAACGGAGATGGAGTAACAGATTTGGGCTGAATCTGGGATCTCGGACTATCGGAGTGGATGGTGTCCATGGGTGAGTGGCGCCTATGCAAGGGTCCTTTTTGAATATCACACCGCTTGAGCGAATAGAATTTTGACTTGGAAAATCAAGACTATTCAAGACGATTGGTTGTTTCAAGGGGAATGGGACCAGTGAGTGTGGTGGCTTGATCTTATTATAGGAATTCTTGCAATATCAACTGTTACTTTTTAATAATTGATTTCGCCCCTTTAGTCCTCCTTAAGTAACTGATCCCATATGCTATTTATGTTATTTCAATCAATAATTCATGATAGATCCATAGGATACCTAGTTATATCTAGAACCTCCCTTCATGATAGCCTTGTAGCCCTGTGAAATAACTTTATCCGTCCTTGAGAGACGAATAGCTGAAGACGCTCTTTGGCGTTAGTATCGCTTATTGAATGGGTGATAATGACAAGGAAACAATACGATTAGAAACAAGTAATGGATGAGATCTATGGGGTAAAATCTTGGCTTCAACATACTATTGATTTGAATATAATTCAATTGTTACATAAAGTGAACTATGTTTTGATTTGTCTGGTTGATCGTATTCGAAAATGTTGAGTTTAGAATTCCGAGAACCACTTTCTGGTGGCGAAGGCGATGAAGGGGTTACGAAAGCAAAAGGGGCGATGGCGATGGCGATGGCGAGAATGCTACAAAGTTTGCTTCGTACTCGTACTGTACCCACTGAGTACGCCGACAGTGTAAAGTATTTTCTTGGTAACTCTCCACATCAAACGCGTGACTTATTAGATGTATCTCAAAATAGAATTCTCGAAAAGAAAGATCTCCAAACTCCACTTTGAGTCCACCATAAGATATGTTTAGACATGATTAGACATGTACAGTGTAAACGTGTCTTGGAAACAAATTTCCGCACAAAGTTCTAAGAATGGCATCTTTGATTCTGGCAGTCTGATCGACTAAGGTATACTATTGCTTATCGATAAGCTCCACTCCGTCTTACATTTAGATCAAAGCAAAGGTATATCCGACGATAACTTGATGTGTTTGACGTCGACTTACACCATACATCCATACATCCTGATATCCAAACGGATGGATCTGCCTAGGTAGAGTATCATTGACAACAATCCCAATCCTTCTCTTTGCTGTCAAACTTGGCATCTTCTCTTCCTCCCAGAACCTTCTTTCGGATGAGACTTCATTCACTTGGACCAAGACAAAGACTAAGGTTCAATATCACGATACCACACGACACGATACGATAAATTAACTTCAAAAGAAAAAATGGGACCAAAATCTTCACATCCACCTGTCTCATCGTCGCCAGCAAACTCAAAATACTACTGAGCTAATAATAAATCATCATGGCAAGAAAGGATCATAGGATAATCATACATTTTGTTAGTCAGCCCCATTAGGATTTCTATATTCATCACTATTTCGTAAACAAACACGTCACTTCCAAAAAGTATCTATTCTGATGATCGGAGTTTGTAGGATTATGACTGTTTTTACGCGTCTGTCTTTGAAAATGAGAATCCCGCTCTAAAATCAGTACCTTTGGTAAATATTCACATCTGGTTTCCTCTCTCTGTCTGTCTTCCTCTGATCTATGAAACATGGCTGATGTAATAATAAGTAGGCTGTACAACAGGTAAGACTTTCTCTTATTGTCAAAGTCGGCTCAAAATAGTACAAACTCTACAGACCTATGTATATCCAAGTTCTAAGTGATCACTTTAGAAACAAATCATCGTCACATGCAATTATGAAGCTCGACATCGTGGTCTGAGTAAATTACAATTAATCAATGAAGCCAAGAAAATCTGTCCCGATGTTGTTGTTGTGTTGGGAGAAGAGTTGGGTCGATTTCGTGATGCCTCCAAAATGTTATATAAACATTTGGAAAAATTCAGTTGGTCGGGAAAAGTCGAACGGTTAGGATTTGATGAAGTATTCATGGACGTCACAGATATTGTCGACTATAATCAGAAACTTCTCAATCCCAATGATTTGACCCACTCCTTCCTTCAAATGGACCGTAATGATCCTACCGCGGGGTTTACCTTTGATGCCACGAAGATTGCTGGCCATGGCTATCCCGATTTGCAGCCGTGCGGCGAAGCATCTCCTCAATATACACTGAATTCGGGGTCGCCGAATAATGATATCGGACTACTTACTCGGTTGATTTTGGGTTCACATCTTGCCCAGCATTTAAGATTAAGCCTGGAAGAAGAAAAAGGCTACACTTCAACCGTTGGTATATCCACGAACAAACTTTTGAGTAAATTGGTAGGCAACCTTCACAAACCAAAAGGTCAAACAACTCTTCTCCCACCTTATGAAGCGTTACCCAGTGATGATGGACTACAAAGTAATGTCACAACATTCATCGATAGCCATGATATTGGTAAAATACCTGGTGTTGGGTTCAAAATGTCTCAACGTATTCGAAACCATGTTCTATCACGCCCAGCCGATTTTGAAAGTGGGTTGATTTATGGAGGTACCAAAGAATCTGTTACAGTCCGTGATGTTCGTCTCTTCCCCGGAATTGGCCCTGAGATACTGGAAAAGCTTCTTGGAGGATCTGGGGCAGAGAGAGGTATCGGAGGTAAGGCTTGGGCATTGATCAATGGTCGCGATGATTCAGATGTGAAGGATATCCGAAAGGTACCATCTCAAATCTCAATCGAGGATTCATATATCAAGCTTGATACTATGCCACAACTAATAAAAGAGCTCCGAATACTTACAACAAGTCTCTTGAATAGAATGCATCAAGATTTACTTGAAGACGATGAAAAATCTAACATACCATCAAAACGATGGATAGCTCACCCCAAAACACTCCGTTTGTCCACCCGACCTCGTCCACCCTTGAACGCGGATGGCACCAGAACCCGCAGCTTCAATCGAATATCCAGATCCGGACCCGTACCCAATTTCGTTTTCAATTTAAAAGATGGTAAAGATAGTATTGTCGAACGACTCATCCAAGAATCTCTAATACCCATGTTTCGAAGATTACATCCACAGAAAGCGGACTGGAATCTGAGTCTGGTCAATATCGGAGTCACAAATATGATTGAAGCAGCTACTGAAGACGGATCTTCAGGCGGCGTGGGTAGAAATATAGGCAGCATGTTCAAGGGACAAGAGGCGAGGCTTAAAGAGTGGAAGGTGCAGGATAGAGACACACCACCTGATTTCGTGGCAGATGGGAATCAGCTTCCTGTAAAGAAGCATCCTTCCAGTGATCGCGTTGAAACAGAGTATACCATGGGCTCAGAAGACATAGTTCGCTCGCAAGATGCGGTGGACGAACTAGATTTTTGGAATGTAGAGGATGAGGAGGAGGAAATGGATCATCGGGAAATTTGTCATGTGTGTGGTGCGATGATGCCCGCTTTCGCAATGCCAGCTCATGAACGCTTTCACAACTGGGAGGGGGAATGAGAAATATCAATCTTGATGTGGGACCTTTTGGAATGAATTGATGACTTGTCATTACTATCATTACTATGTATGAGTGGGAGTGTGCATGGGCAGGGAAGAATAAAGAGATAACAGACCCGGGAGAGTGGAATCACATACATGACTTAGAAGCTAGAACAAGATACCCATCTCATCTCATCGTATACCCCATAGCTATAGCTAGCTCACCATAATAAATAACCACTATACACAAACTTTCCACCCAGAAGTATCTAGGTACCCGCATATCACATCCTATAAATACCTACGTACATATCTACTAGATATTATATACATATATAGGTACCTAGTGCTGCCTATCCTATCCTATCCTATCCTGTCTCACCTCGCACAGACAAACAATTTATTTCTTACGGAAACCCCAACCACCCAACTTCCAGAAGCCAAATAGATTTTTTGAAATACTAATACCATAGATGGGGGGAACCGGAAGATCAGTGATCACCCGGGGAACTTGTGGATGCCATGCTTGACAAGTCATCATTTTGGAATATGTATGAGTGGGCGACGGGGATTGTGTTCCTTCGATTGTGGAGTCGGGGGGGAGGGGAGGGAACTGAAATAAATATGTGGATGCTCGGGTAGGGTGGGAGAGTGCGAATAAGAAGAAAGGAAGAAAGGAAGAAGAGAGGAAGAAGAGAAGAAGAGAAGAAAGAATTAGCACGACTTGATAAGACACGGGAAAACATGATATCTAAAATATATTTCTATCTATGAATCCCTGTCCTACTCTACCTCACTCTACTCTATTCTACACTGTCAATTCAGATACAATTCTACTTTACGTTGTAGGAAGAACTATTCTCATTTTGTATATATACATATATGTACAAGTATATGCAAAATTTCCACGAGTAGATCGAATGATTACGTTGTATTCCTTCCTTACCAAATCTCAAAATCTCAAATCCCAAACAAGCAATTACTACATATATACCTATGATTGGTTACCAAATCATGTGTACATATCCAAATATACCTACCTACCTAGCTACTTGAAGGACTTGTGTTGTCTCACAATGGTCAGAAGACGTTGACATCCTATCGACCTTGCTTTGTTCATTCCATACTGTTTACCATGTCTGTGTGATTTATAAATATCTCCGATTCTATCTCTATCCGCAATAACAACATATTCATCATCTCATTGAAGCTCATTTGATACCAGTTCTAGAGTTTTATTTATGGCGGGTTATAATTGAATCATAATTCTCAGCAGGCAGGTGTAGATCGTACATCAGTGGAGAAAACAAAGAAATTTCATTGTCAAAAGTGCCATGAGAATGATTTCTGTATGCTTTAAATTCACATTGCTCATTCTTATATGCAAAAACAAAGTATCTCAAAAAGTAAGTCACTCAGAATTCGTGTCTCTGATACCCCAACCATGCTAAACCAAAAGATTGCTCCGCATATCTCCAAGAAATCATCGCACAATCCCAAAAACTCCCACCAAGAGCCAATTTTGCCATATCCCTCATTATTTGACCATCATCATATCATCCTAAATACTCATAAAGAAACTCTTCTCCCCCTCTCTTGGTTTCACCTCCGCTCTCTTCAAAATTGGATCCGCACAGCTAACCCTAATTCTTTCTGGTGTTGCAGGACTTTCCAATACCAGTAATCCGCCACCCTTGACATCCTCCCCAATTTCAGCCTCAACACCATATTCTTTTCTAGCAGCCTTCAACGCATCTCTAATCGCGAAGAATACTGCACTACCCATGAAAAGTGGTGGCTCACCTACTCCTCTACTCCTCTGAATAGTTTTAAGATCTTCCCATTCCACGCCTTTAAGTAAAGAAACATTGAATTCTTGAGGAATATCTCTAAACCCAGGGATTTTATATGCGCCCGGTCCACGAGTAGCAAGTTGTCCAGCCATTGGTCCTGCACGGAACCAGAGGGATTCCTCCGTAGTGAATAATCCCATTCCTTGTACAAAAGCACCTTCAATCTGTCCATAATCAATAGATGGATTAATAGAACGACCAACGTCCATTTTGATATCGGAACGTAAACATGTCCAATCACCAGTTAAAGTATCGATCTCGACTTCGGAGGCTGTGACTCCTTGGGTGAAGTAGAAGAACATTTGTCCGGTGTTAGGCCCCCATGTATAACCAATATCTGGAGTCTTGTAGAATCCATTTGCGGAAAGATTGACTCGGTCGAAGTAAGCGGCATGAGCTAGCTGTTTCATTGTGGCATCAGGGCCGAATTTCTCTCTGTATGGAGCAAGTCGTTCATTGATTTGAGCACAGGCATTGAAGATAGCATATCCATTCAGATCGGAAGAAGCTGATGCAGCAGTAGAAGAGGTGTTGGCTACTGTGTTAGTGGCAGTTTCCGAGATGAATACATTATCCAAGGGAACGCCAAGTGCTTCAGCTGCAACCATCATCATTTTCGTATGAAGACCTTGACCCATTTCGGTACCACCATGAGCTACAAGAACAGATCCATCGTGATAGATATGAACCAATGCTCCAGCTTGATTGAGGAAAAGTGCTGTGAAAGAGATACCAAACTTTGTAGGTACAATCGCGAGTCCTCTCTTTTTCCACTTGTGCTCTGCGTTGAATTTGGTGATTGCCTCTCGCCTTGCGGCATAATTCGATTCTTCCTGCACCTGCTTATACATCAATGGCACATGCCAATCCTTAAGGGCTTGATTGAAATGAGTTTGCTCGTTTGCCTTATAGAAATTAATCTCTCTAAGCTTCTCTGCTGGCATACCGAGACGATCTGCGACTTCTTCGATATATGACTCCGCCATGTATAAACCTTGAGGTCCACCAAATCCTCGGAATGCAGTATTTGACATGGTATTCGTCTTGCAAACACGACCTCGGACATGAATATTGGGGATCATGTAGCAGTTATCAGAATGTGATAATGATCGATCCAATACAGCACCAGAAAGATCTTGCGTCCACCCTCCATTGCAGAACATATCCAAATCGAGTGCTTGAATTTTGCCGTCTTTATTGATGGCAACTTTCCACCTAGATAAGAAAGGATGTCTTTGACCAGATGTGATCATATCTTCATCACGATTGAGCATGCAACGGACTGGTTTACCAGTCTTTTTGGCTGCAAGAGCTACAATGCCACATAATTGTATGGAACGAGTCTCTTTTCCACCGAAACCACCTCCAAGCCTCTTGACCTTACTCACAACTTTGTTTGCAGCAACGTCACAAACTTGCGCTACATAAGTTTGGCTGATAAATTGTTAGCTGAAGAATATTGTTGCATCCGATTTTACTTACGTTTCTGTTGGATTTTGAGTTCCAGACCAAATTTCCATTTCTCCATCCTCGATTTTAGGTATTGCCACACAAGCATTGGTTTCCAGGTAGAAGTGCTCTTGTCCACCCATTCTAGAAACACCAGTAAAAACATGATCTGCCTCTTCGAAAGCCTTTTCTGGTTCTCCTTTCTTTATGTACCTGTAATGATCGAAGAAACTTTCCTTTTCGATGGCTTCTTCCATTGTGAAAATTGCTGGTAAGTCTTCATACTCGACTTTGACAGCTCGTGCTCCTGCACTTGCATGTGCTGCGCTATCAGCAAGAACTATACCAATTGGTTGACCTGTTGTAAATACTTCATCAACAGCAAAGAATGGTTCGTCACAAACTGGTGCTCCCCAGAAGTTGGCTTCTGGACTTGGCATATCTGTATGATCAACATATTGAACTACACCTGGTAGATCCATTGCAGGAGCAGAATTGACGCTTAAGATTTTAGCATGTGCCTTCGATGACAAAACTAAGCATCCATATAACTCGTTCTTTTGGACTGGGATGTCGTCGGTATATTGTGCTTCTCCACATGTTTGCTTGAGGGCAGCTACGTGTGGACTTGCTTTCCCGAGAACATTCTGTTGGTATGCAACAGTGGCTTCTCTATCTTCTTTACCGAAAGATATTATACGTTCGATCTCTGGTACAACTTGTGCGTCTACTTCCAAATCCTTGATCTCGAAAGTAGATAGAATTTCATGGTAGAAGCGATAGAAGAAGCCGAATGCAAGTGACTTGCGGTAAGTCGCCATTCCTCCAGGAACGCTAAAACTAAGATTGAAGTCCTCTTCCAAAGCATTCATAGTCCCTTCCAAAGTTGCGGGATCTGAAAACTTTTTGCCTAACAAATAAGCACCAGCCTTTCTAGCCGCGATTGTGGTCGGAGCCATTCCTCCGTATACTAGACTTGCACTGGTTACAATATGCGAATCGTCGATGGCAACCCTAAGAGCTGCATTGACGATAGCAATATCATCATCCTTACGTTTCGACTGCTTGTATGCTCTTAAGTACTCTCCCTTTTGAGTCACGGGTATACGAATGCTAGCAATAATTGCATCAGGAGCGAGTGCGGTCAATCTGTAACCTTTGAAAAATTCAGACATGGGGATTTCTGTCTCCTTATCCAGAGATCTTGCGACTAGAATAGCGTTTGATGCAACAAATACAGGATTGAGATCGGAGATAGGAGAAGCAGTAGCTAAATTTCCTGCTGGGGTACCGACATTTCTAATCTGTCGACCTGCGAAATATTTCAACTGCTTATGGATGGCTCTGTAGATATTGTTAGCATATAAAACTTGTCAAATGCAACCTTGGTCTTGTTGTTTGACGCTTGTGTATCCTCACGTTACCCGAAGGAAAAATATGACAAGATTCAATGATAGACACCAAAGCATCAATGGCAAGAATATGAAAAATTCTGGGACAAATGGATCTACTGACTTGAAAACCTGGCCCTTTTCGGGTCCGTAGTGCTTCTCTGCTTGTTGGACAATCGACTCCAAATCCGTGAGGATAACATTGCCCCCGATCTCTAAATGGTCATCCTTGAATGAAAATTGCCTCAATTCAGGAATATCCCCGACGAAAACCGAAGCAGTGTATTGCATAGCCTTGAATTTGATCTCGATTTGCGTTTCTGTACTTCCACCGATAATCTTTGCCGATGGATAAACGCTCTTGATCTCTAATAGTTGCTCCATAGTCACAGGACGATACCACTTCTTCTTCTTATTGCCAAAAGCTAGAGGTTTGAATTCATGCCTCATAAGTGGTGGGGGAAATATGAGTTCAGTGTCCGGGTTATATTCGATAAATCCAGGAGGTGTAAAACGTTTGATAGGTTGATCGTCCTTCAATTCGTTTTTACAGCATCCACCACTACCTCCGCCATTGTCCATGCAACATCCACCTCCTCCATTGCTTTTAGATTTTCCACATGCAGCCCCAGAACTAAAAGTTTGAGCTGCATCCAGAATTGGGCGATATCCTGTACACCTACAAAGGTTTCCATCGAACGCTTCTTCTACATCATGTTCCGAAGGGTTCGAGTCATTCCGTAAAAGTGCATACAAGCTCATAACTATACCTGGGGTGCAGAAACCACACTGACTACCATTTCCTTTCGCAATTCTCTCTTGCGTAGCATGCGGCCTTTTTGTATTTCCAATTCCTTCTATTGTTATAACATGCTTTCCGTCAACACTGACCAGTGGCGCTAAGCATGCGTTCACGCTTGCATGATATATTTTCTTAGTGGTTGGATTGTATTGAGAAACAACAACTGTGCAAGCTCCACATCCTCCTTCTGCACACCCTAGCTTTGTGCCTGTGAGGCCGATTCCACGGAGATATTCAAGAAGAGTGATCTCTGGATCCATATTATCGAGGACAACTCGTGTGCCGTTGAGATAGAAACGGAGGGTATCATCGTAAGAGGTTGTTACGGAAGAGAGGGAGTGTCTGGAGGCAAGAGAAACTGCAGGTTCCGGTGAGGGATTCGGGGAGACAGCAATAGGTGCCATTGTGAGTTGTGAGAGTGATACCTCTCCAAGGTCAATTATCGAGGAATATAGGTCGCCAACGCCCCTTTCAAGATATGTTTCCTGCCACCAAAATCTTTCAGTGCCTCTTAAAAGTTAGTTCTTTTAAATAGGTGAGATAGTTAGAAGCAGAAAACGAAAAGGAAAAGAGCAGAATATTTCAAAGAGAGAATGTATCTTTCTTTTAGATGGAAATAATAATGTATTGGGCCTGCTTCTTATCTTGCAACTTAGGCCGATGGAGGTCTCCGATATATCTCAGACTAATAATCTAGACCAATCTCTTGGAAGATTCAGAGAGTCAGTGAAGGCGGGGTTAAATTGATATGAAGTGGCAACAACTCTCAAGCAGGTACACCTATGTGAAAGTATTCATTGTCTAAGGGTAGGTATCTCCAATAAATATGACAGGATTAGGACTTGTACCCCCAAAATTGGCAGGTAAGTGAACACCCCGAATGGTGCTTACCATCTCATTACCTTCATTCGTTGGGTAACTCAAACTCGATATGCGAGGATGCTTTAGTAGCTTTTGGTGGATAGTGGGGTTGGAGAGTCGGAGGTTGAAGCTTAGCCAAACATCAACTTCGGATATCGCCTGGAGATATGTGCTTAGTCATGGTTTATTACATAATCTCATGCAATTGGGTCAAGTAGCTTTTCCTCACATAGGACTTCTGCTTCATCGATAACAATAACAAACGACAGGAACACTGCAGTTAGTTACCCATCATTCAACATCTATACTTGTTGAATTCTTATATTTCAAAGATATCGCTTGTGTGTTGGACCATTATCACACGAGATCATTTCCAATCACAATTCCAGCTGTGGCATTCGTGATATCCATCTCGTTTGAATGCAGGTGCTAGGAAACACCAACCTCCAAGTGTGCCTTTCTCCTTCAACAAGCAGTGACTATCAACAACATTTTCAGTAGTCAAGTTGCTGTTGACGGTTATTGTAAGATACTTCAGATAATATTCTCGACATTGACAACTCAATCCCCATTATTGCAACACTGGGTAGTTCTTTCGTGTTGTGATTGAATGTATGTTCAAGATTTGATTTGATTTGAGATCCTTCCTTATATGATCCCAATGGTATTTTCCCATCTTAATAAGCTTACGGACTACCACAACTACTTTTGCTTTCTTACATGAACACTATTTCTTGGTCATTTGGTTACCCGTTGGCTTTTGATATTCACATTGCTATCATCCTTGTCAATTTGTCATCATTAAGGTGTATGATTTTTTTGGTGAATCTAGAAACATGCAGGTGCTTTCCTAACGGAGCGTTTGATACTTCGATGGTGTTCTGGATGTCCGGAATATGATTTCAAACTCTTCAGCCGTTCAGCTTTCGGACTCGAAGTTAGCCACTTTCAATGCATAATCCATGCGCGATGCGAGCCGCATTACAGACTCGTGTACCGGGCGCACAAATCTGTTTTGCTTCAAGTGATTGAACTCAGAGCAATAGGATCGTCTGAAGTAGCTTTTTGAAAGAGTTGACATGTGCCACCTGTCACATCGCATCGCAATGCCCCACTCGCGATCAGTGCAAACATCTTTGTTTCGAGTAGCGATGGTATTCGAACTCCGAGCGTGCATCTCATGAAACAGCCTTTCCAAATTCAAGCTTTCCTACAATAGCTGATCTTGAGGCATGGTTCAAATTTCTATCGTATGAGCTGGCCAATAGGAAGAGTAAATAAAAGCTCCCGTGTACAGTTCGCAAGATTATAATCACGTGCCGGATGTGTTGTGAGTACTTTCGGATGAGAATGCACTTTAATGCTTCAACTGTTGTAAATTGATTAGCTGTAACAATGAGTTACGAACGCCTCCTTTAATTGGATTTTGGAATGGGCTGATGCGGCTTGCTCATAATTTATATCCATGTATGTTGACAGCAGACAATGTATATAAGGACGACGAATAACCACCTGGTTTAGAAAATCATCACAGCACATCACATTCAGCTCATCTCTCAAAACAATTGTCCGGCACAATCTCAGCAATCCATAATTTTAAAAGACTTTTCCATTCATAATCATCAGCATATACAACCACAAATCTCAAAATGGCTATCACTGAAAGAGTTATCTTATCTGTTAACGGAGGGGTTGAAGAATGGAAGGATGGTCTCAAATTCATGCTTCAAACATTGCAGACTCAAGATGGCTATCTTCGCACTCGGTATGCTCCTTTCTTCATCACCAACCTATGACGCATCTCTAACAAGCACAAAAGCTGGGGACCCCACAGCGAAGATGAACAAAAACTCGAGCTTCTCATTGGTTGGGAATCTACTGAAGCTTTCATTAAATTTCAAAGTAAGTTTCCACCCCACGGGTTTACCCTATTTCCCAATTCAAAAATCTATCTAAATTTTCACAATAGCAACCCCCGCCTTCCAAGAAATGCTAGCCCAAGTAAAACCAAACCTCACCGCCCCCCCAAACCTCATCATCATCGAATTCAAACCCTACGCCCCCAAAGAAGTAATCGACGCACACTTTGTTCAAATGCTCACCATTGAGCAAGGCGCCTCCTCCGAAGATGATCTCCGCGCCCAAGTCACCAAATTCAAGGATCTAGAAGGCTGTACCGGAGTTGCATCTGGCCTTTCCAAAGATGATGTTGACGGAAAGGGGAAAGTGTTTGTAGCGGCCGTGGGATGGGAAAGTTTAGAAGCGAGCGAGAAGGCAAAGGAAAGTAATGTTGTGGTGCTTAGTGGTGCGGAGAGTCATCATGTCAACTTTAGATTCCCTATCAAGGGTTTCCGCGGATTGTAAGAGGGGCGTTGTGGATGATTGGGACAATGATAAGTAGAGCTTATCTTGGAAATTAAAAGCCGGTGTGGTTTGTACCTTGAGTTGACTGCTGGGAAGTCAACTATTTTGACGCTCCTTTATTTATTCTTCTTAGGGTTGGGATAAGAAGCTACCTTAAATTATTATATGTGCTGGTCACTTCTTGTCTCATTTATTCTACTTCTCTTCCTCTCATTCTAGTGATCGGTCGTCCAATTTCTATGACTCTTATACCACATATATCTGTCTGGACTCTGAACAACAACAGCTTCCTCCCAGAGACAAATTGGCAGAAGTTTTCGAAAGGAGAAGAAATGCTCACATGCAGTGATTTTGAGTTATGTATGTATGTGTTGAAAAGTTAATTACTACAGAAGAGAAAGTTCCATGAATTTAATTTGAGCTCGTTATAAGGTATGAATCTTTCTCTGTGTATATATATATGTATAGGCTGCGCAGAAATAATCTTATCTGTAGATTATCTGCAGATAGTTTATTCTGCCGGGGATCTATTGAAAGTCCTACCTGCACTGTAGACTATCTGTAAAACCTTTAGATAATCTGTAATATGCAGATCGTTTGCAGATAATCTACAAATTATTTGTCTACTTGTAAGTAGGCAGATTATCTACAAATAATCTCCAGTTTACCTGTTTGAAAATCTCAATAATCTGCTTTGTAGGCGGATAATCTGCATACATTCGTCTAAAGACAATAATCTGCTCTGCAAGTACCCGTTGTGCAGGCTATGTAAATGGCGAAAAGCGTAGCAAAGCATAAGGCATATCTTTCATCCGTGCAATACTCGATCCTCCAGCACCTTTTGCAGAGCCAACCTAACACGTCCTACAACCACCCTCTCTCCATCGCATCATCCATCCAAACACTACCCATCAAATCTCAACCCTCCAAATCTCTGTATCAGAAGCCTCTTCAAACTTCCAGCATCATCGCAATATCCCGCAATCAGTATTGATTTATCAGCCCATCGTTTACACGCTTCATCTTGATCTGCGCTGAAGAGATCGATGGCATGGTTGAAGGTTTTAGTTGCTAGCCAATCGAGTTCTTGGGTCGGGTAGGGGACTTGTGTCTGAGTTTTGAAGTGGAGGTTAACTTTCTTGTTCTTGTTCCAAGATGGGAGTTTCAAGCGACAGAAGAGGGTTGGATGACTACAGAGAATAGGAAAAGAGAAAAGGACACAGAATGGAAAAGGAGAAGAAGGGAAGCGGGAGTAATTCAAAGACGTACCTCGGCAGCATCAGCAGCAAGCATACAAATCTGATCGATAAGTTCCTCTGCAATCTTGTCGTCCGATCCCATAGCTGCCTGAAATAGACAACGCATGTATTTTGACAATTTGATGGTATCGAACTCTTCCATTTCCCAAGTTTTGTTTGTGATTTTTTTGAGAGTCAGGATTAAGACTGTTATTAAAAGGAGGATGTGTTAGCATATAAGTTTTTCTCAGAGCAATATTGCAGATAGTAAAGGAAAAGGTGGCAAGGGAGACGGGGAGAAAGGGGAGAAGCGAGAAGAACAAACCTTGAGTAGGAGCCTCACAACTCAAGATACAATCCGCCATCAACTCGTAAACCCTCATACTCTTACAGATCCCTGCTTTAAGTATAATCTCTCCAAGTCCATCCCAATCTTTCAACCTACATGCGGCCTCAAAATCAAATGCAAGGAGAACAGACAATTTCTTCAACAAATCTTCGATAATTTCCACTTCTAGTTTCTCGAGCTTTTTCTGCAATATATGATCAAAACTCGCTACATGTTTTCTTAAATTAAGATAAAACTGTAATTGTGATTCAACATTCTGTTCGGCTCTTGCGATAGAAACGAAAATAGTCGCAGCGCAGAAATTGCAAAACATTTTTCGGAGTGTAACGTCCTCATGAGCATCTTCACCGATATCTTGAGGGTAGCGATCAATGAAGCCGATACAGCAAGCGAGCAATCTAAGAGATTGTTGTGGTTCCCAGATGGAAAGATGTTTGAGGGATAGGTTGTATGAGTTTCGGGAAAACCATTCGAGCTCGAGAATTGTCCATATTCCTCGATTCAGCGATTTTTGAATGGCGTTGAGTGCTGTGATTGAATGGTCAGAATAGCGTCTTTGAAGGATCTTGGGCAGACAGGTTACCTTTTTCGAACATTGTACACAGTTTCTCAATGTTCTCCCTGGCGTAAATACTTGGTGTGTTCTCGGCATCAATCAAACCAATAAGTAGAACAATAATCATCCTAATTATCGACGGAAGACGCACATTCTCTTGCGCGCCATATTCAAACTTGTCTAGTACCAACCAAAGAGCATCTAAAACATGCTTCTTGTTGCCAACTTGTTGTGCATCAAGAACACAAGCGAAAAGCAGGGAGGGATCTTCGGTGCATGAAGCCACTCTTTCAAGACATTCTGCTGCTAATTCAACCTCCTCACTTCTGATTGCTATTTTGTACATAAGAAATCGTGTCAAAGGCTCTTCTTTTGCTGAATCGGACATAGCTGTGAACATATCGCGGGCGGAATTGATGTCCCCTCGATTTAGAGAGCAGAGAAGAAGCTTCCTATCTATATATTAGACATGACCGCCCATCAGAGAACGGGAACAAACCGAGATATCTTAGCAATATTGGCCTCTCCAGGTATCTTAAACAATTCATGAACTGCAAGATGGCACCATTTCTCAGTTACCTCATACTGCTTTAGACCATAATTTGCTTCTATCTTCTTCCAAATTAACTATATCAAATTAGTCCTTTGTCTGTTCAATGACCACAAGGTCACAAACCGTATGAGCAGCCATAGTAGCCTCGATACCGATCGACTTCTTAATGTTCTCCGCAATCATCGTAAGGAATCCTTCAAGAGCAACAAATAGTTTCTCAGTTTCTCTCCCACTAACACCCATCCAGATTCTCGTGAGAAGAGTCTTCTCCAACCATTCTGACATATTTGCCAACTCTTTGACTCGTAATCTAATCGTCTCATCCAGAACTCCACACGCCAAACTCGGCGCCTTTTCATGAAGTTTCCGAACATGAAACATGAACAATCGCAAATTCGTCGGATTAAAAACAAGAGTTCGAATCATCTTGTTGAGAATAGCACTATATGTCAAATGATCGAAAGTTTCGCTTGGAATCCCTGTCAGAAGTTCCAGTTTTAGAAGCAGAACTATCAATTTATCTCCAAGTTCGCACTCGAGAAGGTCGATCAAGTCCCTTGCCCGTTGTATTGACTCTAGCGTTTTAGTCTCCAATAGTGCCTTGACGAGTGATTGAATAATAGATACTCGCAATTCTGCAGCATCGGCGCTCAACTTGTCTAACTCATCACCACTTAGAACTTCATAAGCACGCTCCAGCCATTTGACGGACAAAGCATGTTGTTCGCTCTCAAGTAATGCCTTTCCCATCTCGTATAAGGTATCCGAGAGACTTTCGGTAGTAGCATGATCAAAGAGTTCTTTGGAAGACATAGATTTATTAAACATATGTTCAGCGAGTTGCATATCGTCCTGTCGCCATGCCTGTAAAATGTGTTAGCAGATAATCTGCAGGACTATTATGAACTTACCAATAAAGTTCTAAGAACAAAATACTCAGCAGTACATCTCGCGCAGGCTGCCCTTTCTTCTGAGGTACCAGATGATTCGAATGTACGTAGAAGTTCTTCACTGTATCCCGTATATCCTGCAAGTTTCTCCAAGACTTTGACCGCATAATCGATCTTCTGTCCATCTATTCCGCGCCTAAGTATTAGCTATAACTCACAGAGTCCGGCTCTTTACACCATAGACAAAGGAAGGCAGGTATACATACCCAAGCAGTCTTTCCCGGTCTTGATTCCCACTCTCATCAACCTCAACAAGTTTCCCCTGGATTTCTCCCCTTTCTCTTTCTCTTCACCCCTATCAGTATCCGCTTGTATATGAGCGACAGAATTCCAACACTCATTCGCACAATCCAACACCAGAAAAGCGAACATTCTAACCATAATCAGCACAGCTCTGAGCTCATTCCTCTTATCCCAAGTCTTCGATTCTCGATCCTCATCCTCATCGTTTTCCGCAGGGAGACTCCTCTTCAACCTCGTCGCAACATTCCAAATACACGTCGCCTTCTCATCCATTTCCTGTGCTTTATCCTTCGCACTCGCACTTAACTTCGTCGGAAATGTAGCAATCTTATTCTCCAATTCTTTGAATGTGCCATTTCCATCAATAGTTGTAAACGTGAAATTGAACACATGTCGACTGAGGCTTTTATCTAAGGAATTGAGATCGTTTTCGAGTTTTTGTGCGAATACTGCGAGTTGAAGTTCAGTGTGTTAGAATTGAAATTAGAGAAAAGTAAGAGAACGTTCTTTCGAGATAGACTTCCCCCACGGCAGTGGCCCCCAGAGGGCCAGCGGAGCGTCATCTGCATTTTTTTTAAATTGAACAACATAATGTCTGCCGCCACCTTCCCTACCCGCCGACCCTGAAGCCACCAGAGTATCATTCCAACAAACCAGAAAGATCGATCCTATCTATGGGGGCAAGCCGCCAAACCCCCATAGCTCGCTGCGCTCGAAGTAAGATGGCCATTTCAATAGCTTCATACCCTCATACTCACCCCTCAGCCTTTCAACTCTGCAGCTCTCCAAGTTCTACACCATCAACGCCCCAAAACCATTCACAGAAAGAATCAAAAAACAGATAAAAGTACAAAACTCACCAAACAACCCCCTCAACCTCTGATCCTTCACCTTCACCTTCTCAATCCCCATTCCATCCACCTCACTACCCCGCATCCCAATTCCTTCCCCTTTCCCTCCAACACCCCCCTCCTGCCGTGCAACACCAGCCCCAGCCCTCTTATCACCCGCCATACCCATCATATCCTTTCGTGCTTCCTTCTCGTACCGCCTTCTTTATCCCTGATAGTTCGTTTTCGTCTTCTCTTTACTTCTCTTAATGTCTCAAATTTCTTGGATGTCATTCGAGGAATCTCAGATGGAAATCTCTACACATCACCTTATTTATTTAGAGATCTAAAGAGTTAAATAGAGAAGAAGGATATCCCCAATCACTTCCCTCTTCAATGAAAATAGAAGAAAACAGTACAATCATTCATCCGCACCGCTACTTGGCAGCATTCTTTTCCGATTTCGAAACACTCATAACAATGTTGTTTTGTTTGAAAAAAAAGTTGTTTATAAAAAGTTGAAAGATGAAGCTTTTTCATGCTTTGCTTTGCTCTGCGCTGTGAATTTACATTCATACTAGGTAGGCAGTAGTAATTTACCATACCTAGTATTTACCCGAACAATCCCACCTCCAGTACTCCCCCCGCTGCCCGCCTATCAAGTCCATTTGATCTAACCATCAATCCAACCATCAACCATCAATTCACAAACCCTCTACGTTGCTATTCAAACCCCTGTTCCCTTCACTTCCTTTCCATTTCCTTGAATTAAAATCTCCAGTTCCAATCCAATCCCGTTCTCCAAAGTGGCATTTCCAATTCCAATCTCTACGTTATGCATCTTATGTACGTACTCATCTAATAAATACCAAAAAGGGTTGGGATTTCTTCATTTCTACTTCTTTATTCCCCGTCTTTCATTTATGTTCCCATACCATAATTTAGATATATCACCGCTTAACAGGATCTTGAGGTAAGAAGTTTCCAACAATTAGAGATGGGCTATTTGGATTTGTTGTTAGTTTTTGATCTTGGAAATGCTGTCCATCTCAACCGCGTTTCCTTTTTGCTGATGTCCCCGTCATCAATCCCCTCAACCCTCCATGTCAAGGGATCCCCAAAGAAGAAAAAGAATCAGACTCACATCTTATGATCATCCCTCCTCACATTAAACGAAAAACAACATTTAATTGTCGGATCTTTACTCTTATCATCCGGATTCTTTAACGAACAACTCGTTAAAAGTGCTTTCTGATTCAAATCAAAAGCTATAGCTCCGAATTTCTCCCAATAGTTGACTAGCGATTCCTCCGTCAGGATTTCGTGGAGCGCTATTTTTCCCTATTCACAGAAAAATGTCAGCCGTTTGAACAATAAATAGGGCTCGGAAGATAGAATCAGCCACAATTGCAGCATATTCCATATCTGTCTTTGCCAAGAACGTTTGAGTGCGAGTGTGAACGAGAATGAAAATCTCCAAAGTAACTTACATCCCGCAATTTCTCAATAGGAACATGTATTAACTCAGCCATTTCCTTATTACCCCTGAAAATCTCTCCCGTTCTCCTCCAACAACAAGCTGGAATGGCCATACTTGCAAAAACTCGATCGTATTCCATCAAACTCCTTTCAAACCACATTTCCACGTAGATGAGTTCAATATCTGTCAATGCTTGCACCTTTTCCCTAAATTTCGGGCGGAAACGATCCAGTTGCCGGAGTATTTTTTGCTTTGAAGCCGGTTGCATATGTCCATCCATATAAGCCGAAAGTCTCGCATATCCTTTAACATAATTGAAAGGCTTCAGCATTCCGGCGTCGTACTTTGCCCTTAACAATAGTTGCATTCTAACTTCGGGGACATCGTTACCAGTGGGATCGGCCGCTTGAAGGTAGTACTCGCGGGCTTTATCAATTGGTATGACGCTTGCTGGTCTCGAAATCGAATTCCCTGGTGGATTCAGTCCTGTTGATGGACCACTACCTGAAGCTTGTTGCGCTCCTGATGTGAGCGTGTTAGAATTGCCTCCCGATAACATTGAGCCAGCTTGATCAGGATAAAAATTTGATGTGTCTTCTGTACCTAGAGCTCCGTCGTCTAGAAGACTATTATTGAGGAAATCATTCAAGAGATTGTACTCGTTGGTGACTTCCGGTGCGTTGAACATGTACGATGGATGGTAGTTATGCATATCTTGAAATTGGTTTTGCGACCCAAGCCAGTCATTCGGATACCCAAGAACTATAACGAAAAAGGATTAATACGTGCCCAATATTTCAGAGTAATCTCGGAGACAGAAGAAGAAAACTAGGAGAATATAAAGCATCATACATTGATTGTTGCTGCTACTATTGAGAGCATTCGCTTGTATCCCAGAAACCGGTGTAGGCTGGACCAGCTGAAGAGGGACACCGCGGGATATTGCTGGTGCTCCAAGACTCAATTTGTTTTCCTGAACTTGATCTTGACCTTGTTGTTCCGCTGTGACGAACGAGTTATTTAGACTATTGTCAAGAGAATTTTCGAGCTTAAGACCTGGCGGTGTCCCTCCCAGCTCCTCCGCTGTTCCTGCTGTAGCGTTGTTGTTATGGTGATGCTGCTGACTCTTCGCCGCTGCTTTCTTCGTGGTCGACTCCGGTTCGCGGGGCTCATCATGACAAAGATGCCCAATTCCACGCTTTGTACACCTCGCGCAAGGTCGTACTAAATCGCATGTCATGTGCTGCTCAGGGACAATACCGAATTAGCTGTTGGCCACTGGCATTTCAATGTCACGCATAACGGTATGCAAACACCCGTCCAACCCCCCCTTGTAGTATAATCCAATCGAGTACTCACAGATCGCCGACAGTATACACAAGCTGCAAAAGACGTTCCACAATTAGCCAATGTTTCAGATCATGTAATTCACATTTGGAAGTCGTTGGTTCCCTTGGGAAACTTCTGCATACCATGATTTACTTTACGCCTCTTCTTCGGGCTCTTGTTTGCGCCAGCAGCTGCAGATGATGCCGGTGGCTTTGCATCCTGCCCATTGTTGGCTCCATTTTGTTCCATGGCATCAGAGCCTAAGTTTCATAGGGTTCCATTGGATTGCGACGTTGCGCTGGTCGATATTGAAGGGGTGAACGAAGGTTTTGACAGTTGATGAATTTATGAATTAGAAAGATCCCTTCAGCTTGTCAGCTCAATTCACTACCCATCACACAAGAATGAAATTTTACCTTGTATTAATTGATTATTATAGTAATAAATTACTTATCTGGATTGTTGGATCAATTTGTGTTGCAAGATTTGGGTTAATGGGATTATTGAATTGACGTGTAGAACGCGGGGCGACGGCAGCTACTGCAAATTTCATCGTGAAGCGAGGTTGATCAAGGGTGGTCTAGGTCTAAAAGATACTTTGGTACAAAGAACAAATGAATTGTAGATCATTATAACTACATACTTATCAATGATCAAGGAGCGAGTTTTGGGTATCTAATACAATAACTATAAAATCAATAACCACACAACACAGAAATATTCCTGTGGAATGTTCCTCCCAAACTTAAACATGCAATCCCACTTTCCTTCCACCGAAACCGTTGTGTCTTGCACCAATAACCGTTTTTATGTCTTTAACCCAGAACAACGTCATTGTACTGATCGAGATCGAGATGACTGAACAGAGCCGCTTGTACAGAAGCTTTACTCTTAGCCATAGCATCGGTGATACCTTCAATCTGTTGTAAATTGCCCTTGATACTGTCCACGTGACCATCTGTGCTTTTAACAATGCCTTCAAGATCTTGATATTTCGAGGCCTGGAGAATATATTAGTTGTGTATGAGGTTTAGAAATAATAGAAACTTACGTCGAGAGTTATCGGAGAAGGAGCTTCGTTCTCATCTATACCGATATCATCGTTGAGTACCTTTTGAGTGCCATCAACCTCGAATTGAAGCAGTGGATGAGCTTTTCGAGCGGCTTGTCTTCTACTTGTCGCTTCATCCTTTGCATTTGCCTCCAGTTCCGCAAGATATCTCTCCTCACTCTCAAGTAATATCTCCTCTTTTCTCAATTCAGCCTCCAAAAGGTCATTTGAATGCAAAATTGGTGTGAGTTTATTCTCTAACACTCGATTGTAATCCAGTATCTTCTCAAAATCAAAATCGTCTTCTGGACTGGCTCTTGTCCCTTTAGGAAATGGCATACCCTTTCGAACTCTATTCAAAAGTCGACGGCTTATCATTCGTATCGCTGTACTGGCTTGAGTCTTCTTACGTTCATCGCGAATCTGTAAGACAACAGGTCTTTGTGCATCGATCAGTAAATCAGAAATCTTGTCCAAGCATCCCGGTGGTAGAGGTTCCCATTTTGTCTCGATAGTTTCGTGTGTCACACGCCGAGTAACAGCTGCTAGATGTTGATACGAAGGCGGCTCTGGCTGTTCTCGCTCGGCCCGATTATCTTGTGAATCTTCCACACGACGACGTTTAGTTTGTTGTTGTGGTTGCTGTTCATCAGTATTCGAATCCTTCCGCTTCCTTGTGAACTCGGAATTATCTGGAGGTCCAGCTTTCTTGGTTTTTGGCTTTCCAGCCTCCGGTTCATTGGTTTGTGGTACATCCGATATTTTAACATGCTTCTTCGACTCCGATGGCTTCGATTGCTTCTCGGATTCTTCTTCGACATTCTTGGAAGACTTTTTTATTTTACGAGCTGGTGCTGATGATTCGGGCTCTGCCGGATCGCGCTTTTGTGATCGCGACGACTTGCTCTTTTCGGGTTCAATATGATCCCCATTGCTCTTCTTCTCTCGATTGTTTGTAGTACCCAAATTTCCAGTCGCAGATCTTCCGCGCTTTCTTTCCTCTACACCCGTATGCGACGCCTTTGATTCGCCCTTAGTTCGGCTTCCCGTCGCCGCGTTTTTTGATGGTCCATTCCTCGCTGCACGATCAACGACTCCCACAGCAGGTCTACCCTTCTTCTTCTGCGGCGCCAGGGAACTGACCGCAGTTACCGTTTCAACAACATCCGTATTGCCATGCCCACTCAATATTCCTCCTGTGTTATTCGTATTTTTTCTTCCTCTTCTCGTTCTTGAATTCTCATCTTCAGCCTCGACCTCAATATTGCCCTGTCCCTCATCGTTCTCCCCGTTTTGTTTCGCGATTCCAGAACCCGGTCCCAAAGAAGATCGTCCTCTCTTCTTCTCACTAGGTACACTCATTCCTGCCGGAACCCAAGGTCTTGCCTTTTTCTTTGCAATTCCTCCACCCAGTGTATTTATGTTTGGACTTGGACTTTGCGCGTTCGCCGTACTTTGACTGCTAACATCCACCTCCCCATTCCCATTCCCATTTTCATTTTCCTGCACCTCCCACCAATTCGACGGTCTCACTCTCCTGCGCTTTCCTTCGTCTGCCATATTGATATTGTAATCCTTTCGTTTTATTGTTGTGCTGTGATCGTAGTGTTCTCCGCCCTTCAACTTTCCCTTCCCCTCAGCCCATGCAACTCTGCGAGCCAATCACCTCGCTTCCTCGCACCCTCAAAAACCTCTTGTTGCACGTCTGGTTACACAACCAAGCATGGGGCTTTTTGCAGATCTACAATTTCTAGACCAGACATCGAAAGAGGAAGATTGCGCGATCTCGAAAAAAATTGTCCCGGGGATTTTGAACGAGATTTGCGTTGTCAATTCTTTGGGGCGTTTTCGATGGAACACAGACAAAATCGCGTCGAGACACGAAATCGCGTGCATAAATGCGCACGGATAATTTGAGGATTTTTTACCTTGTTGGACGCGCCGTCGTGTGTGAGAGGAGTGAATTTGATGGGGTGTTCTCTGAAGTGACCGAGTTGAGAGAAGAGGATTGCCTGGGATGGGGAGGATTGATTCACTATTCACTATCTGTTTCATTTTACTTGATTTTGTTCTCTATTTCACATTGAATGTATCGAACGTACATTTTTCACGATGACATATCAAACAACAATTAAGGAAGCAGGCATACTTTTTGACTGAACAGACGAGCATATAAAGACCATTTTGATTCATCCCATATCCATAACTCCAAACAAATGCTATTTTATAAGTCATTACTCTTCCCATCTCCCAATCTTGATCATGCTATTCAAGCTCCGTTTATCTCCTTGGATGGCCATTCCCTCTTCCTCTACCCCTAGGACTCTTCATAACCCTTCCACTACGATCTCCACCACCTCCACCTGATCTCTTCTCCTCGCCCAAACCTCTCCTCCCAGCATTAAAGCCTCCTCTGCCACCACCCCTGCCACCTCGTCCTCTATCACCTCCTCTTCCGCCCCTCCCCCTCTCCCTATCCCCACCAATGCTCTTCTTAACAGCCTTCACCTCATCCTCATCAACATCCATCTCATCATCCTCATCCTGTCCCTTCCTGTTACTGAACTTAAGTCTTCCACCTCTACCCTTCTTCGGCGCATCTCTACCCTTCAATGCATGAACATAAGCGCCCACACCGCCATCTTCCTCTGCTGGAGTATCGATAACCATTTGATCATCATCATCACTATCATTACCTCCGAGCAACAACTTTCCGTCCAAGTCCACCTTTGCCTTTGTTCTCGTGATCGTTCGCGCTTTTACAGGTTTGGTTGTTGAGATACTACCAAGTGCTTTACGGTCAAGCAAATCAAGTGGCTCATCATCATCTTCCACGATATACTGGTTCCCGCCAGCAGCCTTCTTACCACCCTTCTTTCTTGATTTGCCAAGGACTTCATCATCTGAAACGTCAGAACCAGAAGATTCGGAATCACTTCCGTGAAGAGCCTCATCATATTCATTCTCGAATTTGTTTCTTCTCTTTCCACTAGTTTCCTCCTCCTCACTGTCTTCGCCTGCTTCCTTGGCGGCATCTTTGTTTCTCTTTCTTCTCTCACGAGTCTTGCGGATATTGGTAATGAGCTTTTTGTCTTCTTCTGGACAATATTTGTTGACAATCTCAACACCAAAACGACGAATCATGCGTTCGAGAATGTGCTTAACCTTTGCCTTGAAATGAGCTTTATGCTCATGACTCCAGACCATGAGATTGGGTATGAGACTTTCAAGACGCGGAAGCACAAGAGAAGAAGGCAGAGAAATGACACAGACTTTGACAAAGCCAAGGACGCTGCGGACAATTTCACGATTGTTGGATGTAAGGAAAAGATCCATAGTTTGGACGAGATCACTAACAGTTTCAGGAGATAGAGATTCGCGGAAGTTGTACAGGATACGGGTGAGAGCAGTGATAGAAGCAGATACCATGTGAGGTGTGCTACCGGCAAGACCGGCACTGACCATGGTAAAGTATTCCTCGAGGGTTGCAGTTACAGATGGTGCATCGTCGGGCATGTGGGATACCTTGCTATTGTCGATAATGGCGCCAGTAGATGAAGCAATCTTCTCTCCCATTAGAATAAGGAGATCAAAAGCTGTAGTTCGAGCACGTTCATTTGTTTCCTTACACGAGATGACGACCTCGGATAAGATAGCTGGGATGAAGTGAAGAGAGTCGGCTGGGAGGAAAGGAATAAGAACGGAGATAGCAGCGAGGCGATCACGCTTTGCTGGTGTGGATACCTTCTCGGAACTGTTCAAAAGGAGCTCCTGAAGATCAGTGCTACGTTCTTGTAATGCGGCCTTTCCAGTTTCCGACTCAGCAAGACGAGGAATGAGCTTATAAGCCTTCTTCTGAAGTTGAGGGTCGTCATCCTTGACAATGATAAGAGCTGCCATATTGAAAAGAGTGCTGAAGCTATCCCTTGGTAAGTAGATGGAGATTGTGATAACCAAATCCATAAGACTGTGACTCGTGGGTGGCATCTTGTTAGCCGCATTTTGTTGCCTTTGCTTTTGCTTCTCTGCTTGAGTTTGAGCGCCAGCTTCAGCCAGCGATGTTCCTAACGCTTGACTGACCCGTTCAAATGTCTCCATAAGTTCTTGAGTAGGGGTGATGCTAAGGAATGCGTTGATACATTGCAAAATGAAGCCTCTATATTGTGGTAATGTTTCATTGTAGACATTGAACAAAACAGAAAGCATATTGCTGGCGAAAGTAGCCAAGTGCTCAATGTTCTTTTGTGCAACGGCCTTTGAAACACGGCTTTGGAGAAGTAAGTCTTCCTCTCCTTCAATGGCGATAATTGCTTGGTTAGACTCAATCAAAGTTTGGAGGGCTCTGCAAATATCTGAACGTAGATCAACTTGTCCATATAAAATGTTGACGAGTATTTCCGCAAATTTGATATCAAAAGCTTCAGTAAGATCCAATGGCAAATCGCAATAACCAGGAAGAATCGCCCAGATCTGTTTGACAATAGTTTCGAAGATCTTGATATCCATTGTCTTTTCAGCAGCTCCGTGATCGCTAACTCTTTGTAGCATTGCTTGGCTCAATGGCTCGAGTTCGGTTCGGAAATGTTGAAGATTCGTGTTACTGACATAGTCTCGTAGAATAGGTAACATCCAGGCGCGTCCAGGTTGTCCAGCTTTTGGTTTGATGAGGTTGAGAGGTAAAATGCTAAGAACTCTCTCTGGTCCCATAGCTCTGATGGCTTTTCCAAGGATTTCATCTGCTTCCTTTTTGCCAGCGAAAGACTCGCTACCTCTGAGCTCGCCAATTGCGCGAACAACTTCAGATAAAATTGGGTCTGCTCTCCATCTCAAAGCGTCAAACATGGAACCCATAACATTGAAAGTTTCCATCCAAGCAGCTTGATATTTAACACTCAAGAGATCAATTGCACACTTTGCCAACTTCTCGAGGACTTTCTCGTCAAAAATCGAAGGCTCTGCAATGACTGAATCTGGGACACAATTTGCCATCAACGAAATCAAACATTCGGATGCAGATACTCGAATGCTATGTGACGAAGATGACATGAATCCAGAGATCATTGTGAAAAGTTCGGGTAATTTCGCAAATGTCTCTTCTGGCTCCAATTGAGCAGAGACATCATAACCCCGCGATAACACAGCAATCCAAGGAGGTAAGAGTTGAGAATCGTTTTGAGAAGGTCTCAATTCAGAGATCACTTCTAGAAGTCGAGGCAGCTTCGATGTCGCGGTTTCGTTTGCCATACCCTCGAATATCATCTCGAATACTTCGAACGAAGTCATAGCCAAATATTCATTGCTCGATTTCGAAATATTCAACAAGACCTCGCACAATGCCTCAATCTTCTTACTTGGCCATCCCCCAGATGCTCCTGCAACAGTCTTAACTAATTGTAATGCGTGAATCAAAGCTGGTTCATGTTCCGCAGTTGCGCTGGTCTTTCTCTGTTTCCTAGCTTGATGCGATTGGGCCGCCAAATCACTCAAACTTCTCAAAGCAGTTTCCGCACACATATCCGCCGCAGGATGATCGAGAGAAGGGCTGGGCGGAGGATTCTTCAAAATGTTTGCAAGTGCTTCTTGCGCACGCTTTCGAATCTTAGGTCTGTGATCCACGGCGAAATTTAATAATCCAGCAATCGCCCTTCTGGGCCCAATTGCCATGACTTCCAATTCCCATGCCGTGGAATCTTGTGCGAGTAATAATGATTCGAGACATCCTATCGAAGGTCTGAGGAGAGGAGCATCTGCTTCTGGTAATATAAGGGCGGGACCGAGATTTGTGAGAATTTGAGTAAATTTTGATCGAAGGAGTGGTTGCGGGGCAAAAGGTGTAATGATATCGAGTAAATATACAACAGAAGTTGTTAAATCTTTGTTAACTTCTCCATCTTGAGGACAAGCCTGTCTTAAGAGTGCCAATAATGCGGCAAAATATCCAGTTGGAGTCGCTTCTGTTTTCTGATCTTTAAGTGTATCTTCAACCGCAGACAACACAATTGCAGTCTAGATGTCGATATCAATCAGTAAAGTTCACAATATCACCAGAGGTATTTCCAGCATTGAAAATCATTTTACATACCTGTTTTTGATTTTGAAGCTTCGGCGAGCGTATCTTGTCGAGCTTTTCTTGTAAAGACATTGTGAAAGACCTTTCTTAATTACTCTTTGCGCCTTCACTGCCGCAATAAAAAATCAAAAAATACTTCTGATAAAAAAAAGTTTCTGATAATCGATAGCGATCAGACCAAAAGTGTAAGGCTTACCGTAGCTAGCGAATAGCGATAGAGATAGAGATGACATCCACTTCAAGAGGCATTAATCCTAAAAGAGGTTAGCTGTAAGCGAAGTAAGCAAAGCTGGGGTCATTCGAATTGTTGATTGGTTCTTCCTCCCTTCACATCCGTCCCATCCCCCCTCGAAAAGATGCTGTGGAGCTCCTTTTGAGTGAAAGGGTACTTCCAGGTATCTCGAGGGTATCCATTAATATTAATATTTCCATTAAAAACCATCTGGCCTCATCATCACGCAAATTGGAGAGCTTCATTGTGAACGATATATAAATTCTTCTATATTCATTTATAATCTTTGTAAATTCACCGTTATATATCATTATATATATCTCGTCTCTCCTTTCTTCAAATTTGATCTTTGATTTGATCAGATCATTCGCGAAAAGTGTTATCGCGGCGCATTCAATTAGCTATTGCCAATCAGCGCAGATCTCCAGCCTAATCGCAGAAAGCTTCCTAATCAGAAACCTGCTTATATAGTCTCTCGATCCCCCTCAATTTGACAGCTTTCACCCCTCAATCATCCACTCCTTAACAAATCGCCAAAATGCGCATTCCTACCGTTTCCATCCTTGCCCTCCCCCTCCTGGTCGCAGCCCAAGAATCTCCTCTCGACCAAGCTAAAGCTCAAGCTCAATACTGGTTCGGCAAGCTCCAATCTTATATCCCCTCTCCAGCCTCCGAATCTCCTCTCGAAGCCGCAACTGCAAAAGTAGGCGAAGCAAAAATCCACCACCTCACCCTCGATACCTGGCAAGAAACCATCCGCGGAAGCGTCACTCTTGAGTCCTCGCTCCCGCAAGAATGGTGGGTTCTAGCTACCGGCGGAAACAAAACCTGTTTTGGTCTCTGCGGTAAAATCGAAAAGGGTTTTAATGAATCCGCTGCCCTTTTCGCTGTCGACCCCACAGCTCCTCACATGGCAATGTTGAACTGCGACGAACAACCCGTTCTTTGCAATTCGTGGGGCGCAGGACCACCACACTTGTGGACCATGGAAGTTGGGGCTCCAGGATCCCCAGTTCCTATTATTACCGTTCCGTTGAATACTACTTCTACGACCGTTACTACATTCACGGACTTGCACTCTAGCAAATCGTACAAGAAAAAGGCACCTTATGAGGGCTGGTTCCATCCTTTTGATGGAGAACTTGCGCAATACGGTGCCGCAGTTCCAGTTGGATATGTACTTTGGTTCTTCGCAGTTGTTCCCAGCTGGATGTTCATGATTGGTATTTCCTTCTTGAGCAGAACCATCATGTAAGTTTCCCCTCATTTTCGAATGCTAAAGCATCCCACTAATGGCAATCCCAGGAGCAAGCGAACTCTCGGTCCACAAGGACCTGCAGCAGCTGCTGGAGCTCGTCCACGCGCTGCTCCAGCTGGAGATGGAGTTACCTACTAAGAAATGTTTGTCATGATTATAAATTTGGGGAAGACTGCAGTGGAGGATCTAATTCTCATATACTATGCATGTTTTCAAAGCGACGGGTGGCCGGGATGCAATTTACGTAGCTTATCTAAACAAATTTTAATGAATGGAGAAATGGGTATCATAATTGACAAACCTTACGCCTCGCTAATTCCTTGCCATGTCTACTGTGCCTGTGAATGACGCTCCGCTGGCCCTCTGGGAGCCACTGCCGTGGAGGCAGACTATAAGGAAGGGAATATATACCTAACTTCCAAAGTGTGTCCACCTATGTATCTTCACTCTTGATAGTGATACATCACTGCGGCCTTTGCGGCTGTGTGAACGCACTTGGCTGTTTGATACCGAATTCTCAATGTGCAATGCGCCAACCTTGTGCCTCATCGCTGGTCGTATTCTAAAACGCTGCGAACCGTCATTACCCTCATTCACTATGTCGCCTTTCCTTTGCCCTCCGGAGCTTTCCACTGGTAACATCTACCCATATCCCATTTATGCCAATCACTTTCCACCTACCATCGCAGCAGCCCCCTCGACTCTCTCCAATCCTTCTAAAACCTGTCCCCTTATCCCCGGATTCGCAAGCCGTCCGTATCTAAGATCACTTAACCCACCAACTGTATTCTTCATCTCTTTTAATAATTCTTCGGTTTCCGCATCTATTCGCGCGATTTCGTCTTCGAGGTCTTCAACTGCTGCTTCGAGGGGAGAGAGGATGGAATGGAGGGAGTGTGGATGGGAAGATGGGAGGTTGGATATTTGAACTGAGTTGGAAAGCTAAAGTTTTGTTAGTTGAGTTAATTGTATATGGATGAAAGGAAGAATGGGAGATAGAGGGGAGGAAATAACTAACAGCTCGTTCAACTCCCACCTCGTCATCTTCTATGACTCTCTCATCTCCTCTCCTCCTTCTCACAACAGCTCTCTCCATCGCGCTTCCTCTTCGTACTTCTTGCTCGATTGCTGTGGAAACATTGTCGATTATTTGTGCGCGCTGATGCTGAAGGTCCCGGTAGAGAGTTCGGATAGCGGGGGATGATTGGACAGCACGCGGGAAGAGGAGAGTGAAGGAGGCGAGGGAGATGATTTGAGGGAGGGAGGCCGGAGGGAGGAGGAAGGTGGTGAGAATTTTTTGTTCGGTGGGTGACATTGTGGTGATTTGGAAATTGAGGAGAGTTTGAAGTGTTTTGTTTCTAGTGGCAGATTGTACAGAGTTGATCTGGACTTAAGTAGGATTCAATTGAAGGTCAAGGGGTAAGAAGCATTGATGTATTGTTGAAATGAAAGCGACCAAAAAGCTCGGAATTGAGAAAGCAAACAGACGAAAATGAGGTTATACTCAAAGACCCAAATACTCCGAAACTTGAACTCTTCTGGAAGATGTCACCTAGAAACATGGATGAATTATTGAGCATAAACACATCACATAAACCTGGGGTACATAAATTAAAAACACGCGTGACACGTACTTTTTTGTCAAAGACGCGCTTGCTTTGCTACTTCTCGGTTGTCTTAAGATGCAGACAGAAATGGAAATGGATTTTCTAATCTTATCCAACTCCCTTTCTTCAACAACATAATCATCATTTGCACACGACAAATCTTCTAATTCTCCAATAACTTCACCCCCAAACTTTGGTCGTATTTAGATATAGCTTTGCTGTCAAATCTTATACCTTGTTAGCATTACACCCCAAATACTTTATCTAACACTTTTTACATTCATCAAAATCCCTTATTAGATCGGACCGGAAATCATGGCACCATCAAAATCTGGACCACCTGTCGCTCCCTATGCGAAAGATGAGAAAGTTCTTTGCTTTCATCATGATTTGTTGTATGAAGCCAAGGTTTTAGACACGAGACCGACAGAAGATGGCTCCAGCTGGCAATGCAAGATTCATTATAAGGGGTAAGAAATTCTCTCTAAATCTCGATGTATAGCTAGCTAGGTATACATGTACCTATATACTATTAGCTTTTTGTAAGGAGAAAACGTGTTAACATAATTTTTTTCTCAAATAGATGGAAAGCAACGTAAGTTAAATTTAAATCTGAATTTATTAGAATCTTTCGAGTCTTCTGGGCTATCTGTTTCATTATCTTGATGAAAAAAAGACGAGTGGAGAGAAGAAAGAAAGAACGCACTCCTACTCGTCTTTGAGCTACTTTCCAAAGCTGGATGATATGTAGCGAGATAGTTGCACAGTTGAGTATACCTCCTCCTACCTTCCTTGTAATCCCAGTGAAGAAGCCTTGGAACTTGGTACATACACGACCTTCGAAACTTTCATTACCGATACTGATAACGATATACTTTGTTGAGTTCGATGGTATTTTATGGTATCGTATCATATCACATCATACCATCTTGTACAGTTCAAACAACTAAAATCGTTTTCACATTCAACTCAATCTCAATTTCCCCCTTTTCCCCCAATTTTCATTATTTGTATCAACATGTCCAGACAATCCCCTCCAAAGCCATCACGATCCCTTCGACCTCGTATTCGTACTTTGAGAGAATCGCATGGCAATTCGCCCAAATCAAGAAACCAAGCAGAATCTAACCATGATAACCAAAATAGTTGGGATGATTGGGTACCTCAAGATCGAGTAATGAAGTTTAATGACGATAATAAAGAACTTGCTGCTCAACTTCATCAAGAGATGAAGAAGATGAGCCAGAAGCCAAAGTCCGCAACTTCAGCCGGTGGTAAGAAAATTGGTGGACGAACGAATGGATCGGATTTTGGTTCGGGTCGTGGTAGTGAAGAAAGACATGCGAGTGTAGCAGCTCAAGGGGGTGGAAGAGCTGGTCCAAGAAGAAATCGTGATTATGATCTGGAACAAGTAAGTTTTCTTTATTTCTATTGATTCCTTTGATTTTTGATACTCTGATATTACGATTCTCAAATCCTGAAATCCTCGATTCCCCCCATATCGATTTATTCATTTTTCCTTATTTTCACGGTGGGTTTGGAGGGTTCGATAATTACATCAATTTACCACAAGAGGTGGTATAAGAGATACGAGAAGTGTTTCCAGAATGGCTAGTTTGACCTTTTCTCAAATTTTGGGTTCTCGCTTGCCAAATTTGGAAAATCGGAACATCCTCTCTCTTCTTCTTATTGTTATGTTAAAGTTGTCGCCAAACAACAATATAAATTGATTCCCCATCAATACAATCATTTCAGGAACTCAATGCAACACAATAAGAAAATTATCAGATTGCTGGGCATTCAAAGCTTTTCCTTTGCTTTCGATCGCTACCAATATTTGACAAAATTCTGTTACTGCGCTCTTTTGAATCACACTTTCAAAATATTCAAGTTCTCAAACTTCAATCAATCACGACAACAAAATCATCAAGATCATCCTTCAAATATTACTTCAAACCTTCTCTTGAGAACTCTTTAAAGATGGGTCCTCCTATTGTACCAGCTGTTAAAGCTCGTGCGAAACGTCTTGCGAAGAATATTGGCATTTCAGCTTCTCAAAATAAGATCCAGAAACCGCAAGTGACCAATGTAAGTCTCTCTCCACTCCTTCAATAATTCAATCACTCATAATTATTTAGGTAAAAGAGAAGACCAAGGCAAAGACCAAGGTCAAGGCAGTCGCAAAGGCAGTCGTAAAGGCAGTCAATAATTTGGCTGCACCACCAGTTAATGTACGGAGAAGTGCAAGAGAGAAATGCCCAGCACAACCATATGATCGCTCGATCATTGATTCTGGCAACTTAACGGTTACCAAACCAAAGCCAATAATGAATGGAAAGAACCCAGATTGGGCCAATCCTAAGAGCGAGCATTGGAATGTTGATAAATTTCTCAAAAACGACTCCATGGTCCCCAAAACAAATCTGGATGCAAGACCACCCAAGGATTTTCAATTCATTTCCAACAACTCAATTCGAAATCCTGATACATATCGACCGGATAAATCTAACTACGTCTACAAACCAAAAGAGAAAGCGGCTCCAGTTCATCCTAAACTTCAAGCTCACATCAAAAAGGGTACCGACACCAAACCTTTGCGCCAATGGTATGCAGATTACGAGCCTGGACAAATCAATCCTATCGCTGGTCGATTATTTGACGATAATCAATTACCTCCCCCACAACTAAAGCGAAAGAGACTTTTCCCTTTATCATACAGTGAAGAGCGCATAGAAGAGGTCATGAAGCCTCCCCCAAAGAAGCCCAGGCTCATCCTTAACAATGGGTCGGATAAATCTGCCCTGAAGAAAATTGCTGGAAAGGCCGTCTCAAGGACCGCTCAAAAGGCTTCTCCAAAAAACAATGGCACAGCCGCTAGCACAGAGATTGAGAAGAAAGTGAAATTTGAAAAGGAAACCAAGAGTACCTCTGAAGTCAGAGGAGAACGTCTTATCAAAACCACCAAGAAGATGTTACCACGCATTTTGAATTCAAACACCGTCATGGAAAGACGTGATTTTAACTATTTACAGGAAGAAAACTTTCATAATCGACCATCCATCAACCTTGTCATCCCCGATCATATCAAAGCAATTCTTGTTGATGACTGGGAGAATGTCACTAAGAATCAGCAACTTGTACCATTACCCCACCATAAATCTGTCGATCAAATCTTGAATGATTGGCTTGAATTTGAAAAACCAAAGAGACCCATCGGAAGTGCCCAGGCGGATATCCTGGAAGAGATTGTCGCTGGTTTGAAGGAGTATTTCGAGAGATGCCTACCTCGCATTCTTCTGTACAGGTGTGTTCATTCTGAGGATACATCTACTTGTCTCTAACCGATTACACATAGATTTGAACGTCAACAGCACATGGATTTCCGTGACTTATGGGATGATGATTCATATCCACACAGCTCTGCGTGTGATACCTATGGTGCTGAGCACTTATGCCGTCTTTTGGGTAAGACTGTCATTCCATTCCTTGAAAACACATCGCTGATGATATATAGTCACTCTGCCTGAACTCATTGCTCAAACCAATATGGATTTACAATCTGTTAATCGTCTTCGAGAGGAACTTAGCAAATTGACCAACTGGATCGGCAAGAATGCTAAAGATTACTTTGTCACTGAATACGAGACACCTGGCGCAGAATATGTTGACAAGGCTCGAAACCCCAATTAGAGAGTTATGTCTTGCATTAAAAATTGAAAGATGCAAACACGCAAAAGTGAATGGATAGGTGAAGATGGAGATGTATAATAGTATGGAATGGAGAATGGCGCTTGCTTTTTTTCTGGCTTTTGTTTTTAAGGGAAGAAACGAATCTTGTATTACAGTGGGTGAAAGCGAAGATTAAGTCGAAAGGTGAATTTGAGGAAGGAAAGGAAAATTGTTTGGTAGGTTTCTGCTATCACTGCTGTTTGTTTCTGCGATAGCGATGGGAAGGGAAGATTTTGACGAACCAGCATCTGGCGTGGCAGGACAGTTAGACAGATTAAGAGAGCACACATGTGAAAGAATCTGATTTGAATGGATTGATGGATGGATCATAGTAGATTCTAATGGGTGGTATTGTTGGCATGGCAGATATTCGATTATGTTTAGTTCAAGAACCCTTGACTTTGGACTTGAGCTAGTAGTTTAGCATTACGATTACAGATTACATGACTTCTCATCTCAGCCTTGCTTAGTTGTGTTCGAACTTGCGATTCACATGTGGACATCAATCAGTGCATGTGAATCCTTTCAGTGATATACATATCAGATCTGCTCAAGATGAAGACAAAGAGGTCCACAATTCCGCGGTACATGTGAGAATCTCAGCTGCAATTTGTAGGGTATTGACATTGGAATTGGAGTTCTCATATCGTAAGTGCGATTTCACATCCTCGCCACCCTTATGTGCTTTTTGTTTGGGAAATAGCTAACTATGCTTTATGGTACATATGTGTGCATTGTGTACAGAAAGATCCAGAACTCCAGTAATGTGAGAGCGGTTTGAGCGAAGTGTGTGAGGGTGATGCTATGCAGGTAATGTGAGGTGGGTTAAGGGAGGGGGAGGTGGAGAGAGAAGGGCGATTGATATAGCTGTCTATCGTGAAGAGAGCGGATGAGGATGAGTTTGACTGCTTGTCATCGCGAGTAATGCGTATCTATTCTGCATTGAAAGTCTCCCTGATTCTTCATACGCATTGAAAATTATCCCAATCTCAATCGTAGATATAATGCAGACCAACTACGTCCCATCCCCGAATCGCAGGTACAGATTTATTTATGGTATCGCCCTCTCAATTCCCAATGTCTCCAACCAGCCCTCCATTCCAATCTCCCTTTGTATTCTCTTCCATGCTATCTCTACTCCCAGTCCCATGCACTCCATCCCTCTCTTCCTCAACCCCTCAAACCACACTCGTTTCCAACTCCTTCTCAACAACAAACCCACTCTCCGGCCTCCTGCTCTCCCTCTCTTCCCTCTTGCTCCTCCTCTCCTTAGTCTCCTCTACCTCAACCAATTCCTTAACCTTCATAATCTGTCCTGCAATATCGGAAGAAACAGGGTGATACACACTGCTCGTTCTTTTGTGCAATCCCAAGAACTTCAACACACGCGAGGATTTCTTCGGGAGTCCGATAGCAGATCGAGTGAGGGTAATGCGGAAATAAGATGTTGGTGTAGGAGGGGGAGCTTTCTGCCAGGGCTTTTGGTGGAAGACTTTGGTTGGGGATGAAGAGGAGGGAGTGGTGGATGGAGAGGTTTGGGATATGGCTTTGGGTGCGTTTTTGCTGATTTGGTGGAGGGTAGAGGGGAGGGGTTTGGATGAACGGATGGCGCGGGCGAGAGGGGCCGCGGTAGTGGTGGACATTGTGGGTGGTGGTTGTGTGGTTGTTGTGGTTTTGGGTGTCTGTGAGAGAGGTTAGAGGGGTTGTTCCGAGATGAAGGAGAGGAAGAAGTGAATGCGAGGAGTAGAAATTGAGAATTGCACCGCGCATAAGGAGCAAAGGAAATAAACAAATTAACACACCTTGTAAATATCAGCACAAAATTCAATTGCTTGTCCCGCACTGTAAATGTCGCCGTTGCCAGTATATCGAAAGTTCAATCGGGAGAAATAAATCGTAAATATCAAACCAGGATTCTCGGGAGTCGGGAATTCTTTCCACCGTCACATGCCACGCTAGTCCTCGTTTTGGGATTATGCACGTAATGTCTCATACACCATTGAACTTTCTATTGATTGCACGGATTTTTGATTTGATTTCTATGAACCATTTCCTAGGAATTCAGAATTGCCAATAAAGCTCTGCGAGAGCTATACTTTTCTACCAGGTCTTAACTAAGATCTGCGCGCATAACCCCTACTCTCCTCCTTCTTGAGCTCCTGTAGCCTTCAAACCACCGCAAAAATGACAATGGATGTCTCCTCCATCAAGCTCTCCGATCTCCTCCACCACCCTGACGACCTCGACAAAATCCCCGCCCTAAAACTCGAATACACACGCAAGAAATCCGCTGTCGATTCGCAATTGCGTTCTGGTCTTAAAGAACAACTCGAAGTTACCCAGGCGGGTATGCATGGGATTACCGATGGCCAACGAACCGTTCAGTTGATCAAGGATGAGATGATGAAGATTGATAAACTATGCGCCGAGGCGCAGAATATGATTAAGGATTTCCCGAATATTAATCTGGTGAGCCAGACGCATAGGAATTTCATGGCGGTAGAAACGATGCGCAGGAATTTGGTGGATTTTAATGAGAGGTTAACGAAGGTGGAGGGGCTTTTGAGAGAGGATGATGCGGATGAGGATAATATGGGGAATTTGCTTGCGATTCATTATGAATTGACGCAGTTGAGGAATATTAGGGATGATGCTATGGAACAGATATTGAGGGCTGATGATGCGGGTCTGCAGGGGACATTGGAGGATTACTTTGCGAGGTTGGACGATACGATTGATTGGTTTGATGAACACATTGGGAAGGTGGCTATGAATCTGATAGAGGTGGTTGTGCAAGGAAATAGCAGTTTGGTGGTGAGGTTGGCTGTGGTTATTGAGGCAGAGGAGAAGAGTGATAAGAGGGTTATGGCACTGCAGGAGGCGTTGAAGGATCATAAGGAGATGGCGGCGAGATTTAAGAGTATCACGGATGGGGCGAAGAGTACGAGAGGGTATAAGGAGAAGTTTTTGATGGCTATTAAGCTTAAGGCCGAAGCGGACATCGAAGGAACCAAACAGACATTTTTGGAGGACCCCTCGAAATTGGAGAAGGGTTTGAGATGGTTCTTCAACGATCTGAATGCGGTTAAACAGGGAATGGTACCATTGATGCCGAAGAAATGGAAAATCCTCAAGACATATGGTAACATTTATCATCAATTGATGCATGATTTTCTCATTGATATGATTGACGATAAAGAGACGACCCAGGCCAATAATTTGGCGATATTGAACTGGCCGGAAAAGTACTACACGAAAATGAACAAGTTGGGGTTCAAAAAGGACGAATTGAAGCCGCATGTTATAGATGGAAGAGAACAGGAAATGATCAGGAATTTTGAACAAATCATTATCAAGTACTTGGATGAATGGCTTGATCGCATTTTCGCAACGGAAAAGAAAGATTTCGATGGGAGGAATGTGGATGGTTCGAATTTGGATCAAGATGAATATGGATACTTTCGAACGAAGAACTTGGTCGATATGTGGCGTATGTTACGTGAACAGATTGATGCAGCAGGCGCTAGTCAGAGAATGGATATCGTTGAAGGGGTGATCGATATCATGATCGTGCGGCTGAAGACTCGTCAACAGACATGGCAAGAGATGCTCGATATTGAAGCCGCGAAATACTTCAATGCAACCACTGAACTGGAGGGTTTCCAAGCTTTACAGGATTGGCTTGTTGCTACTGCTAATGATCAAATCGCTTGTATTGATGATAATGAAGATGAGGGACGATTCGGATACCTTACGAGCTTTAGACAAAAATTCGAACCGCTCGTCTCAACTACATACCTCGAACGAGTAGACGTCGAGATCACCAGTCTAAACGATGGATATGTCGATCTAAGTACGCATTGCATATCCAAATTCGCAACCTTAATTTTCGCCGTTGATTTCAAAACCGTCATGCCGGATTTCTTCACACCAAAATGGTATACAAATACAGCTATGAAGCAAATGATTGTCACATTCGAAGAATATATCAATGATTACAAAAACGTTCTCCATCAATCCCTACTAGATATCTTTATCGAAGAACTCGCCATCGAACTCCTCATTCAATATCTCGGCTGCGTCCGCAACAAAGGCGCGAAATTCAAGAGAGCGGATCCATTTAAAGATAAAATCTTCAACGATGTTTCAACAGCTTTTGAATTCTTCAATAGTAATTCGTATCTCACGGAAGATGTAAGGAATATCATCGTAGGTAAATGGGCGGTGACGCAAAGTTTCCTTGAGATTTTGGAGTGTGAGAAGGGAGCGGTGCAGGATGTGGTAGAGGGTTTCAAGAGGGAATATTGGGATTTGCAGCTTGGCTGGGTGGAGGCGGTGTTGAGAGCGAGAGATGATTTTGATAGGAGTATGCTTAAGGGGGTGAAAGAGAGGTGGGGGAATGTGATGGGAGATTTGGAGAGAGGGGGGGAGACGATCATGGCGAGGGTTAAGTAAACTAGTTTAGTGTTTTTTGACTGGTCGTGTGTGCGTGTATTACTTGAAACGGGAGAATGGTGCGGTGTGATGATGAAGCACGCATGCACGCATGGATGTGGATGGGAATCATGGGTTCGGATTTGTACTTGAGCGTGGAGTCAGGCGTTCTCTTATTGTTTTCCTTGAAGGATTAAAAATCTATATATATCGTCCCCAATGAGGGAAATGATGAGAAGTTTATGTATGCATAGGCAGACAGACGAATCAGGCGTTGAACGATGGTATTCCCGTTTGGGTTTGGGTGAATGGCCATGGTGATCTAACTACCTAAGTAGCTAATTAACATCTCACTGATCATTTGTCTGCGAACAAGAAAGCATTTTAGGTTTTGTGCTTCCGTACTTTTTTTTTCATTGTATGTGCCTAAATCATCCCGAGGCTATGTTTACTGCTGGTGAAGTACACACGCGAAACAAAGACTCAAAGTAGGAAATGATGATCAAAGTAATGAGTGAAAACCACAGGAATCAAGCGAATGTTTGAGGAAAGCATGGAATGCAAGGCCAGGAAAAAAAATCTCTACCCTGTGAAATCGCGTTATTGAGATTCAGGATTTCTAAGATAGTAGCATTACCGACAGCGTTATGATGTTAGCCCTGTCCCAGAAACATGATGAGTCTCGTATCTTGGATCCAGGTGCACCGTGCAGTATCCCACTGCGAGATTCTCATTTCATACATTCAATCTCTTTCCAATCCTCTAACTTGCTCATCAAGCGCGTCATTCATGTTGCTCTTCACTGACCCAGTCTTGTTCACAGTCGTGGCAGGGTTACCATGCCCCTACACTATAACAATGTTCCCGGTTGCATGTTCATCGCGTCATCTGCCCTGGGGTCCTTGACTATGTTTCTTAACTTATGTTTCCGAGTGAAGCAAGGATTTATTTGGTAGAAGATGGGGATAATGGTGCCGTGGCATGCTTCGTAGATGTTGTTCTGCTAGCAATCGCTCCTGAAACGAATATCGGATCTTAGAGATATGTAGCTGAAAGCTGCGAGGAGTAGAAGAAAGACGGACAACGCTGTTTCGGCGAGAGAGAATGGAAAAGATGAGTCTTTGAAAGAATGCGGCATTTCTGTGAGGTTTGCTGATGGTTATGGAGTTGAATCAGGGGTAAATAATTTGTAGCTTTTGAGTTTGAAGCTAGCCTGGAAGGCGTGTCAATTCTGCTTGTCGAGATGATATTGTCAGGAGAAAAGAGGGAATTTTAGCGTAAGAGATTGACTTTGATCTGTGTGTGAAGTATTCGAATTGATGTGTAAGTTTGGAGACTTTACATCCATCTCGTATCACTTCCCACTCGGATATTTCCCTTAACGTCTAGCAAGGCTTTGAACAAGTTGTTTCTGTATCCGAAATCCTCAGGCATGGGGCTTTGAAGGAAGTATTATGGAAAGTAAATGCTTTTAAAACCAGTAGTAGTCGATTTAGACAAATCAAGCCTTAATCTGTGTAAGAGCTTTCATTGTGTCATGTCTCCAGATATCATCCATATATTCGTATCAAAGAATGTTTCGAACACAATCCGCAGTTGGATATAGATAGAATTCGTTGTTTTAGAGACAAATCTCGGCTAGAAGCCCAGGTCTTCGCGTTAGGATAGTGCCTTGAGAGTATTCAGGGTTTGTGGGAGCCTGTTGCAGTCGTGTATGGTTTCTCCCAAAAGTATTAATGAAGCTTTTAGAGAAGATAGTTCCATGAAGATGGTATTGCGAGGAGGTTCCCAATGAGTTACGCTGTTGAGGCTAATTGGAGTTGACGGCTGGAAGATATCGAGGAAATAATAAAGGCGGCATCAGGATCCTGAAGACGAGCAACGAGTATATGAACTGGCAGACTTGGTAAGCCAGGGGTCTGGCTATTATGAAAACCGTAGTTATCGGAGTGAGTAAAGACTTTCAATAAAATAATCACAAGAATAAAGAACACAGTAGAGACATGAATGCGCCGAGCATTTCGGGCGGAGATTGGTAAATCCATCACGATCATGTAGCTTCGAAACATTCAATTGAACCCCTGCCTCCTCGATCTATAATTACAGAAAATAGATTATGAATAAAACTCCAAACTTTTAAAGCTTTCCGATGATGAACAAAATAGCAATGACGACAAATAACGCAAATAAAATGACTGAAATCGATTTGTCATGTTTGGACACCGTGAAACGCCAACGAAAATTCCTTCCAAGACCCGTCAATTCTGATTCACATGAAATGGAATACATTTGATCGTAGAACGAATGGTCTTTCGATGAAAGCGCTCTCTGTCTCCTAGAATGATATTTCGGAAGCGGTACGCCCAGATATATGGACGTCTTTAGCAGAGATGAAGATGCAAGCTTGTTAATTCCGCGATGTGCTACAAGAGCGCCTATCACCCTATCACAACATGGTGGCTAATGATACCGACGGCTGCTTTGTGTTATTCTTGAATTGGTGGAACGCATGAAGTTACATTCTCGGTCGAGAGATAATCCGGAAAAGTCATATCATGTGACGTTGCATTGTCATGTGAGCCGGGCTCTCCTTTTCGGAATGATCTAAGCGAAGACGACGACATCAATACTGTGATTCGAAGGTGTTCCCGATCGTATATAAACAGGACAGTCTCCAACTCAAGAACCCATTTTTCGAACAAATACATGGCCCGTAAATCGAATTCTGATTAGAAGTCATGCTTAGTCAAAGAAGTTGCATAGTTTAGAACCCAAGCCAAACCAACAAATTAGCGTTAATGAAAATGCTTACCTTGAAGATGATCAAATTACCTATAAATATTTTGCTTCACTCATCAAAAAAACATTCAATACTTCAATACCTCGATTTCACGATCATCGACTTGTCGTACACCTGATATCGTCCCAATTCCCCTAACGAACACTGTGATGAATCTCACTAATCCTTTTACCATAGATATTACTTGTACATCTATAATAAACTGCATAGATGACTTTACTTGGTGGACCTTGAAGACTTAGACGAATTCAATTTGTATCCTTGACTCCCGATATTCTGGACAAAATGTACTAAAAGTGCCACCCGCGACATGGAGCTTAGTCGCAAACCTTATCTTTGACATTCCTAACAATCTTATATTGATCATTGTCTGCAAGATATATAGAGGAGAGACCAGACTTCTACTGTTTAAGATTGGTTAAGTCAATGATAGGCCGGCCTCTTCCAAACCCGCGTGGAGGTCAGACTGTGAATTGATTATTTACGCCATGCGGAGGCCTCTTCTGCTTGTATTATTCTTGATCTGCATTATTATGCGCATTGTCTGCTCGACCTACCTATAATTATTCGTCGATCGGAATATACTTTATGTATGCGAGGAGTATTTTGGCGCTACTTATATCACGAGCGATAGCTGTGGAAGAAGGGCAGAATCACATTCGCAAGTAGCTCTGAGAAGCGCAATTACAATCTTTCTTAGTGTAAGGTTCGCTTTTCAGGGAAAATCGGAATGTACTACAACAACAAAGCTATAGTCACAAGCCGTTCATGCAAAGAGATATTCCATACTATTATTGAATATCTGTCCTAGAGAAAAGGCAGGCTGTGCCGTGCAGTCAGGATATTATAAATCATCATACTTGAGAGGTTCATACCTGGTGATATAATTGGTATTTTTGTTAGAAATAGGTCTGTAGGAGGAAAGATGAAAGGTCTGGGGGTTTCCGCGATAAGAAGCCTATGAGTGCTTGTGTGACAGAAACTTCAAAGGTCATGAAACCAAAATTGTCAACGGATACGAGTGTCAAATGTTGTTCAGAGTTGGCGCTTGTCTTGATTTCTATGAACCGTCACAACTGAGATCAAGGATATACGACTCGTCTCTCATGTCTGATTTATTCTATAGACTCTATCTAGTCATATCGAACGGTAATGCTTTATCCAAGTACACATAATCTTTGCCCAGGTCGAGGTGATCTTCCTTCAAGATAGAGCGAGTTCTAGGACTGAAATTGGCAATCATGATTGGCAAGAGGTCTTTTGTGCAATGGGGGAAGAATGTGAGGTCAGAATTGTCAGGTTCACGGTAAAATAAATGAAAAGTGACATCGTGAAACGGACTTCACTCTACGTGTATACTTGTTTTGCAAATCTCAAAATGATGTTACCATTGCGTTCTTAGACATACATAATGATACAAAAAACGTTCCTGTAAAAAGAAATTTAGCCTTCTCACAGATGGAAAGCAAATATGGAAGTATTCGTCTAATAGGTACTCAGCCTCAATTGAAAATTCACTCCAACATTTCATTCTTGTTCAACCTAATTTCTGTTATTCCAAAAGTCTGAGACCTCCACTCAGCTCCCAGATACGCAATCTGCGACCTATAACCCCAGGTTCACATCATCATTACTGATCACCAATATTAATCTCCATCATCAACCTTTCCTTTCAACACAATGGATAACGACGGCATAATACGCAATTACAACACGAATCACTTCCTTGAACCACTTAGAAATGTTACAACAGCTGCAGAAGAAGGTAGCGATGTCGATATTTCATTCACGAGCCTAGTTAAGCATATACCTCTCCACCGAACTTCTCGAGATGAGTTGAAGAGAGTCAAGCCCATCCGTTACGCCGATGATTCTGAATTGGAAAGAATCTGTAGCTGGCCCGAAACATACACAAGAGAACATCAGATTGCGGATCTATCATGGCACGACGAGGTAGAATATGCGATGACGGCAGACGACTTCTTCGACCGCGCACCATCCACCAATAGTTGCTTGATATCTGCAAGTCAAAAGAAGTCTTCAGATTCTTTGAGTATTGGCAATGGCAAAAAACTTGATACATTTACTTGTTTTCCGCGTCTCCCTCCAGAATTGCGCTTGAGAATTTGGAGAACGATGGCCTTTGTGCCTCGCGTTATTGCCTTGCAAGAGCGCTCAGTTCATAACGCAACACACAAAAGATCAGTCTGTATACAAACAACAAACGCTGCTGCCAAAGTACTCCAAATTCATCACGAATCTCGTACGGAAGCTTTAAAATTCCACAAACCTTCTTTTGGAATTCGGGTACATCACTTTAAAACAACAGATTATTCCGTTCACGAAACGCCTATCGTCGATGAACTCATCATTCATGCAAATTTTCAAGCAGATACAATATATTACGACAAATGGTATATTCAATTTCAAATTGAACCACCTGTACAAGAACTTCCTAGTTCTCCGTACATGAGTAGCCATTTGAGAGAGATATCTAAGTCTGCACACAGTGCTGCTTTTAATATCAGTCATCCAACCTCAAGAAATTGCTTTTCCATTATCAACAAATTGATTAGGGACTGTACCGCCCTAGAAGAAGTCTTGCTTGTTGTTAGAATCAAAAATATCCCATCAGATCGTACATCCTCTGGGCACTTGGAGTTGATGGAATCAAACAAAAATGAAGCTCAGGTTTGCTACGAGAGATATATTGGGGTGTTCATCGAGCTGTGTGACGAAGTAGATAAGTATCATCAAAACATCTATAATGGGGCCAGCAAGGCAAACATAGGACGACCTGGAGGCCCCAGAGTCAGAGCTGTTGGATTGATGAGGGACGGTGTACGAATTTGAGATGCTTTGGGAGCACAAGAGAGTAAAAGAATCTTGTGATGGAAAAAATGATCTTTAAAATATCGGTATTGAAAGCATGTTTGTCTTAATTATGGTTGATTGTAAATGGAAGCTTCTAGGGGCCTTGCTAGACAGCAAGCTGCATACAAGATGGTAGGTGGTTAGACTAGATGTTTTGGGCTCAACTATCAAGCCTTGGCTTGCTCTCTGCATGGTAGAGAATAGCAAGAGCACCTATGTTTTCTTTCGTGGGTTAGAGGGGTGAAGGGAAGGCACTTCAATCTCACCATTTACATTACAATCGTGATAATCTGTGTTTCGACGACCTTATCAATTTTTTTTGTACGAAGGTGAGGTTTCAAAGATGTCTCCACGTCAGTAAGACGAGTTCAATGAAGCCTTGAGTTTAGAAGTTATGTATGCATCACGTAGGTAGGTATACTTTGTCAGTGAAGTAAACACAGTCTTTATTAGAACATGCACATGTCATTTTAAGATTTATCTATTGCCAACTTTTTGTCCAAGTTGTTCATGTGGGGGCTTTACTTTCATTGCCTACCAGATTTTGTTTCAAGTCTGCAACTGCCATCACTGTTTCAAATCATCATATATGCACATATGAATTTGTGAAGAGTTGAGAAAATTATTATCCTAGTTGAGGGATGCATAATCTTCATGTTAATAACCCCCCATTGGAGTTTGTATGTCCCATCCTCGAGTATTTTCAAGATCTAGATCTAGACCAAAAGAGTATCGAAAAAATGAAACAACACTTGCATGGTTCCCGAGTGCAACTCTATTCCCTCAGCCCAAAAACGCCCGCACATCAAATTTGAAAACCATCGCTAGGATCCTCCTCAAACTTCGTGGAGAATTTTCTCTGAGTTCGCTACCTCTTCGCCTTCACGTTGTAGTCCCGTATGTCCCACTGGTTGTATCTCTGGAACAGAGCCAGGTAACTCCGCAAATCCTTCTGGAATCTCTAGTTCTTGCAAAGTACTATGAACTCTCGGAGGCTTTGGAACCCTCGGAACTCTACGAATCCCATCAGCTATACTGTCGTGTTCCTCTCGCTCAAGAACATTTTCCCGACCCATCTCAGCCATCAGACCGCCCAAAGAACCTAAATTGGGAGGAACATATTCGGTAAGTGGAGGCATCTTTCTTCCTCTTCGTTGACGATGCTTTCGCAGAAAGTACCAGCCGAGCATGTAGATACATCCTAGAAATAGCAAAACAGCGAAAACACTCAAGACTATAGTGGTGGTATGTTGATTTCGAACGCTGTCTTTGTTTGCCTTGTCTATAGCAGTTTGTTCCGCGGGCGAAAGTGTGATAACAGCGGTGTAAGCACCCGGAGTTAAGCTAGCAGCGAGACTCTCTTGACTAATGGCGGATTTCAATGCACCTTTCAATATTGGATCTGTCGCGGTTGCGGCAATTGAGTTCCAGCTAGAGATCTCACTAAGAGCAATCGCAGCTATTCCAGTGGGCGGTACGGTGGGTTGTGCGATGGAAGTCAAGGTTCTAGTAGTAGATGGTGCGATAAGAGTTACCGTTGGTCCCATAGGAGTTCTCGTCGGTACAACGCCTAACGTTGAAGAGGGGACGATAATTGTTGAGGTGTGCGTAATTGTGATGAGTCTTCTTAATGGTCTGATTCTGCATTGGGACGGATCAAATATGTCTGTTGGAATCTCTGATACACATTTATACCCAAAGCTGACATGTTGAATATCAGAGGACCTTTCACCGTCAGGGCCCGTACCAGTAAAAGCCATTTTAAATAAATAAAGAATAGCCATCTGTAACAATCAGCTAAGCTTAACAAAGAACCCCCAGAATAATTCGCAGGACTGACCTTTCAAGAAGTTTGAAGATGGATACAGAGAGGTTTGAGAGCCAGAGACCAATATTCTTGAACGGGAAACCCCAGTTCCGCTTAGTGAAAATTTTGATCCAGATAATTCACCAATTTGCTAGATATCTAGCTCAGCTACGAATTATTAATACCATCCGATGTTAAATGATCTAATACCTGGTTTCTAAGATGAGCGAGCATAAAGTTTTGGACTCGCCGCTTTATTCAAGTAACATATGCCTGGAAAATGCTGCTCTGTATGATACGCCGACTCAGAAAGTAGTGAAGTTAACTGTTTCGTATCATTAAAGTATTGCCTAATACAAGTCTGCTGTATCGAGTGCAGAGAAAAACCGAAGGGTTGGCGCGGAACTCACTCTTTTTGCGCCATTTTGGTCTCGAATTTGGATGACCTGTTCAGAATATTTCCTTTCCATAAAAGATGTAGTGCTGGAACTCCTAAGGTTGATCTTTAAATATGCTTCGAATCTTTCTTAAAAGGCAATCGAATAGAAAAGTAGCGAATTAGTGCCTTCTTATCGGTGCTACACATTTCAGTCCGAGTGATCAGCTTCTGCTAGAAATCTTGTCCCATCAATCCGTTCCGTTACAATCTGTCAACAGCTTGACGTAATGTATTTTTGCCAGTAAGTCCGGGGTTTACAGATCTTTGTGGCAGCGATTGAGCGGCTAGATTGGAGGTCGAAACATGGTTTTCCTCTCTTGAAAGTTTGAAACCCAATTTCATTCACTAAAGCTCAGTCTCACTCCCTACCATAATTTGTTTGAATGCGACCCTCACCCAGCACTCGGTGTACAACAAGATCACCGCAATATCACGTGATGGAAGTTGACTGTTCCGGTTGAATCACTAGACATCACTTCTTTCGCCCTCATACATACAGACCAAGCTCAAAATCACACATCCATTATCAAATATCCTTCGAATACGAACAACGAAACGCTCGTCATCCCCACTCTCCATTCTAATTCTTCTCTTATGGACCTTCTAATCCTGAAACACATCTCAATATCCAGTGTGCAATCTACAAGTACTTCTCACCTCTAACATCTAGCTCTCAGCTTCACAATCCGCTACACCTCCCCTTTTCTTCCCAATTTTACTCCCCTAATTTTCGCCTAACGTCCGCACAGACAGGTCCCGCTTGACAAAAACCACAAAAGCAACATCAAAATCAACATCGATATTTATGAGATTGATCAGTTACTAGAAAGTCAATCGGTATCCCTCGTGCCTCTCACTCCCCAAGTTCTAAATCATTCTCTCCTTTCCAATTCCTTCACTCCTTCCACTCCATCCCAACTTTCTACTTTCCAGCTTTTATTCCTCACAGACGATGCATACCTAAATACATACCAATCTCACACTGCCTACTTTGAAATCCTATTTTTGATGAATTTAATTACTTTAAATGATACTATAACAATAGATATATAGCCCCGTATTCTCTTTTCTATCCTCTACGCTCTCTTCTCCGCCCCAACCCCAACTCAAGTCAATGACATGCCACCATCCCCATCACTACCGCACAACTCCAAAGCGCCAAGAAGAGAGGTCCCCACTCCATTTCCTCCTCCTCCCCCTTCTGTAACAAGTGGGCGTTTACCCTCTCGATTCTTTCTCAATCCTCCCAAAACACACAACAAAACCGATCAACTCAACAAAAAACAAATAATCCACAAACACATAACAAATCAAGTCTAATCAAGTTCAATAAGTTCTCAACCTACTATCTCATCTATTGAAACAGAGGCTGAAGGTCTTGAATTAATCATCTACACATAACTTAGTCCATAACTAAATCGACTAGACATCAATCCGAGTTGACGTCTACTTCGTATCACGCGGAGAATGATTCCTAAAGACGTATTTTTAACGATATATTCTTCAAAGGAAAATCAGAACCCCCTTTTCACTTGAAATATATTGAAAAATCATAGATAATCTTCAACTTGATACAGATAATTGGTAAACAAACATGGTCTTGTATTGACCGGTTGACAGAATCTCGGACTGACAAATATGAATTGACGTTGCGATTTGAATTTATGATCATTCTTCAGCCCTGACGGAGACCCACACCGCATTCAAGAAACACACTAGTACCAGGACATTACCCTAAATATATCTCATCTATACAACACTCTTTCTATACATACAATCCTCAACCCTCAATCGCTAGTTTCCAATACTCAGATGACACAAGATACAGTACACGAAATTCAACACAAAATGATCCCCTCCTCATTTCAATTTCCATTCCAACTTCCATTCCCGTTCCTCCTCGGTCTCGCTCTCCCTTTCCCAAGGAACAAAAAACACACCACACATTCATTCATCCATCCATCCATCCGTCCATTCCGTTAATCTTTGCAATTCAACACTTATCTCTCTCCCTCTCTACTTCAGCTCATTATTCTTCATCCGTCCCCCTTAATCTTTTCTTCCTTCTCCCTCCCTCCCTTCATTCTTTCTCCCCTCGTCCTTCATCCTTCATCCTCCATCCATTCTCTTCCAAGTTCCAAGTCTCAGATTCCAACTCAAGTTCCTATCTGACACCCACCCCTCTTTCCCTCTCCTTTCTTCCTTCTCCTTTCTCCTCATCTCCTACTTTTCCTTCTCACCCCTCATTCTTTTCTCCACCTTCTCCTTTCTCCTCCTCACTCCTCTCTTCTGCTCACGAACCCACAAAGTCACAATCAATACTCATAATAATTTAATACTCTCATCCAGACCATCCAGATTATACACCTCATGACTTCATACACCCATACACCAAATACCCCATATCAGATATCCCTCCCCATCTCCCCATCTCCCCATCTTCCTTCTCAATCACCTGCTTCTTTCTTCTTTCTTTTCTCCCTCCTCATCCACCTCATTCTACTTCTGGTCAAATTTGGTCAAATCTGATTCCATTTCCATTTCCATCCACACTCACTCGTTCTTTTCCTCATTCACATTCACACTCACTCTCACACTTACATTCATATTCACACTTATACTTATACTTATATTTATACTCACACTCACACTCACTCATTATTCTCATATATTATTCATCCATTCATTACCCTCCCCCCTCGCCTCTCGCTCCCTAATAGACCCATCCAATACAATTCCTCATTCTTATTCTCATTCTCACTCTCACTATCATTCTCACTCTCACTCCCATTCTCACTCTCACTCCCATTCTCACTCTCACTCCCATTCTCACTCTCACTCCCATTCTCACTCTCACTCCTACACTCCTAATCTCCCTCCCCTTCCACTCAATCGGCCCGTAATCCTTCCCAAATTGTCCCAAGCTCATATCTTATTCACCATGACCATCAGCAAGCAAGCAAGTGCACACACACAAACATATATAAGTAAAATTCCACTTTCTACTGTCTACTTCCCAGCCACGCCTATATACATCATCTCCCTCTCCCTCTCCCATTCCCTTTTATCAGATCCACAACAGAAAATCGCGCGGGTATGTATAAATAAATACCATAAAACTATATGATCAGCCCCGCCTCCATCCCCCCATTCTCTCTCCATCCATCCCCCAACAACCAAAACCCCCCCCCCCCAAAAAGAAAGGTATATACAGATATAGAACCCACTCCGCAAAAAGAGTATCCATTGCAATCACAATCACAATCCCAAATCCAAACGCCTTTCCATTCCATGCCATGCCATGCTATACAATGCACGCTTCTTTCCACTTCAAAACTCCAGAAATGCTTTGTTCGTAAATATAACTTCCCTCTCTTCCCCTGCTGACTCCAATAACTCACACACCCGGTACAGTCCCATCTCCCCAACTCTTCCTCAAAGTCTTCCCCTCTCGAACCATCTTTGCGATTTCCTTCCCCACCATCTCCTTTGCCTGTCCCCCCATATTAAAATCATCCCAGAAAAGATACTCATCCGGTTGTTCACAGACGAGGAACCCATTAATATCCGGTAATGCCTTTGTATCTTTCATTTCTCCTCTCTTCTCACTTCCTTTATTGATTTTCCCCGATTTTCGCTTCTCTCCAGGTCCTCTTTTCTTGCTTGCCTCGTCATCTCCTGCCCGTACGCAAGGATCATATACGGAAATGTATGGACTTTCTTTTGTACCGAGTCCACTCGCGTCAGATAATCCTTCATCTTCCAATTGATGTTCTATAATAATTTCCGTGAGGAATCTATTCAGATCATAGTAATAGATATCTTTTTGTGGCGGAGGAATATCCGGTTTATTTTCCGTCTCAACAACGCCTTCCGACTCACGCGTTTCTTGTGATTGCGATTGCTGTCCATCGTTCTGGTCGAATGTTTCCGGAACCGCATCTCCAGATCCTTGTTCTTCTGGTGCTGGTGCTGGTTCAGCCCATTCGGAAGTAGTGGTGGCTTCTGGTGTACTAGCAAACCAAGGCTTGATAAAGTTTTCCACACTATTATCCCAATCTCTGACCAGTGAAATTGCATTCTTTTGGTGTTCCGCCACAGAACTAGGTTTCAATGGCATCGGTCTTTGGCTTATCCAACCAGGCAACATTGTCGGATCGAAAAGTTTTTGGATGACAATTCTAAATTGTGGTTTGGCCACAACATGCGATTCATTATGTGGTTTTACGATAACATGAGTAGCTTCCAAAGTTTCCCTATGATGTGCGTACAAATTGTCGAGTTGCGCGAACATTTCGGTAACAGCTTTGTTTTGGGCCTCTTGAGCTTTGGTGTAATCGAGGGATGCGTAATGCCATACATCCCATGTGCCGAAGGAGACGACAAAGATTGTTTCTTTGAGTTTCTTTTTTGGCAGAGGAAGGGCGATGAAGGATTTTACTTGAGCTTCAAGATCGGGGAGCATAGATTCGAGGGTGATTTTCGTTTCGGTATTATTTTGCCCTGCGGTGTTTTCGATGGAAGACAGGTAAACTTTGTTGGATGAAAGGGCACCAGTGGGTGGTGATGATGGGTATGAAGATGCGGGTTGGGAGACTGCTAGGCTGATCTTTGAAGTGCACGAGAGCTGAAAACCATCAATTAGTAAATGTGCCAATTGTCAAACCTCAATCGGTCAAACTCATGAATTCACAGTCAGAAGAAAGAGAAAATAAAAGCGTACCTCTTCACAAAGAACTTCCGTCCAACTTCTACCCTTTCCATCCCCATTCTCTTCAATCGTATCATCAACCCAACTGTCTCCAAAAACCACCAGTCTTACACCTCCTTCTTCTCCCTCCCCTCCATCATCATCCCCACTTGCCCAATCCCACAAACCATCCGTCACATCATTAATACTCGTCCCTCCTATTTCAATCTTCCTCAAATGTTCCGTGTATCTCGATTGAGGTAGTAAAGCCAAGATGGTCATTAACGATAGAACCATCGCAAACACCGACGCACCCAATCTTGTAAAAGCGCGCATTGTCGCAAGTCGACGTACCAAAAACCCGGATAAATTCAATAATCTCCTCCCTTCCCCTTCTACCGCAATCGCAACCAACTAAATTACACGAAACCCGAAAGCAAGTGCGCGTAAATACACAAAGTTTTCGTATTTCCGATAGAATTCAGCCTTGTTAACTTTGTTCCTGAAAATGGTAGGATTATGATGCTGCCAAGGATGCTGGCGGTGCGTACGCCAAGAGCGGATGTGTTAACACCTTCTCTTTTCTGTTGATTCTTCAATGATCCAAGTGTATCAATAAATATACTTTAGGAGCCTCTCTCTCGTCTCGTTAAATATAAATCAAAGAGTGACGAAATGTCAATGGTAAAAAGAGTCCCCCAAAAGAATGAGTAAGTGATAATGGCAAAGTACAGATTGCAGCAGCAAATACGAAGAACAAAACTTGCTTATGACCCAAGATACGAGACTTCGACCGGAAAAGAGAAAGAATAAATTAAGCACGCAGCCCAATATAAAGCAGGTCGAAAGTAGAAAAGATGATCAAAGCGACATCAACGTACGAATCACAGCTACGAATCATACGAATCAGATTGCTCGAGGGAACTGGAGACTGGGGCATGAAATAATCGTAATCATAAGATAATGTAAGATCTTAGCACTCACTTCCCAGTCCAGGTTCAATCTGTAGCCCTACCACCTCTCTCAAAGTATGGGGGGACACACGAGGAATCGAGAATGAGACTGTCACTGTCACTGCATAGCCCGTCCAACTTAGCCATGGCCCATGAGCTTGCATCGACACGCAACCAGGACTCGTAAGCTTTTTCTTTTGGTGCAACGGTTAAGCGGATCCTCATGATGTGCCCCTGTTTAGTTGTGGTGGGAAGGAAAAGTTGAAAAGTTAAAAATAAAATGGTGGGATGGAAGGTCTCGATGGATGAACATGCATGAGTGAATGATTAATTGATCTCGTTATTTGGAAGAGTGCTTTGCCAATGAAGAAATATGAAGAAATATGAATATGAGAGGAACACAAGTAATATGAATATAAATAATATGAACATCAATAATATAACATCAATAGTATAAATATAAATAATACAAACATACCTATCTAGCACCTACTCAGTTGAATGCCGACTAGGTAATACTGGAATTGAATCTTGGGATGCATAAACGGGGGAAGAGAGATCAGTGATAGAACCTTGGAAATCATCCGAAACCCCCGATGGCTGGTGATAATGATAATGAAGCTTCTAGTACAGGACTAAGTATGTTTTGCTTTACCGTACAATTTCCGTATGCTTTGTACTTTCTTTCCGCTTTGATGAACCATTACTATTATCATTATCATCACCAACACTCATACATAGTACGAGGCATACCCACTGTGATGGAGATGATGGATATAATTTCACAGCCTCATCAATACCAACAGTACGATGTACACCAGCGACTCATCACATCATCAATCTTGGAAGCGTACCTGTACACAAATCAAACACTATTCTCACATGTACGATATACACAGAAAATCATTTTCCCTAATACATGGCTCTCTCTCTCTCAATATACACACATACCCAAGAAACACCATCATACTCACACAATATCCAATATCCAATATCCAATATCCAATACCCAATCCTCAAAATCACCCAAAGAAACCATCACCACCCCGTCTAGATCAACAAAAGTTCTACAACTAAAACACCTCGACACCTAATCTGCACACAAAACCCTATAAATACAAATCACCAATCACCAATACCTATGATTCTACTTTACACACCCCTAGTACCTAGCAGATAAAATAAAATATCCAATCACATCCCATATATACGCAAACTCGAGGCGCGCACCTCCACAAGCAAAGAAGTCAGCACGCAGCAAAAAAATAAACCAATACACATCCTCCTCTCTCCTCTCTCTCCCCTTTCTTCTAGACGCCACCCCTTCCTCGCGCGTACCTGAGCCTTGAGTCCTTGAGCCCTCCCTCCCCCAAAAATACCAAAATCACAAATAAAACATGCTTTTGAAAAAAACACCCCCAAAAGACAGCAAGCACCGCACCACTTGCCCCATTCTCGCCGTCCGAGATGCCCACTCGCGGTTTCTGATTTCCATCCGCGCGTGCGACTCACGAGCTTCTAACGTATCACGCGTCTGTATCGTATTCCGCTCACAACATAACATCTTGCGAAGTGGCTTTATTATTCAATATGAAAATCATAGTGTTGGAGAGAACGTCTCGATTTTGCTGGGTGTGGTGGACCCGTTTTTTTGATATTCAGAGTGAGCTCCTGTCCTGTCATGTCATGTTAGATTATATCATATCCTGTCCTGTCCTGTCCTGTCCTGTCATATCAGTGGATTGATTCACTCTATTCACTCCCAAACACGACTGAAACCCATCTTGTTCCAATTCCAATTCCAATTCCATTTTTCATCGCGAAGCCAATCAATCCAATCAATTCTAATTCCAGATCTCCCATTTACTTTTATTTTTACTTTTACTTTTATTTTTATTTTAGTCATGTGATATGATACAATACAATATAATATGATATAACATAATATAATACAATCTATCAAAATTATGTCTGTATGTATGTAGATATGTAGGTAAGTAGGTAGATACTCTTATCATTCTATTGTATCAAGTATGTACCTATGTCATGCATACATTTAACTTTCGACCTTGACACTTGGAGACCTGCATCCATCCATCCATCCATCCATCCATCCTATCTAATGATTCATCCCATCTAATGATTCTGATCTGACATCTGAGACACGAGATATGAGACACGATGAATCACGACGACAAGAAATGAAAAGTGTGGTTTTGTGCGTCGATGAATATGGCCTGGTGTAAACCTCCTCTGTAATTATAATTTTTGTATATATAAATACCTAGGTAGGTAGGTAGGTGGGTGGGTAGGTAGGTCCATCTACAGGAAAAGACCCAAGCATTCCCGAAATTCATTCGAGTAAATCTCACAAAACCATATCTATATGCTCGGCTCGCTCACAGGAAGAGACACACCAGGTATTGCTACAACATCCATCATATTGACATTTAATCCGATTGATACATGTGTATCCAAGCGCAAGCTCAGCCAAATATCTATCGATTCGCCTACGAAGAAAAATGCATATATAATCAAGATATCATATGCTCGTACCCATAGCCGTTAGATACAATACAATGAGAAAAAAAAAGGGAAAATATCCTCCTACAAAACAAATGTGTTCTTTTTGAGATCCCCCTACACCACACCTAGGAAAAAAGAAGAAGAGAGAAAAAGAAGAGCATGCAAAAAACTCCAAAACCATGCAAACGCCCAAGATGCATTGAACAGTCAAAACTCTCTTGATTATCTTCTATTTTGGAAACGATTGCCTGTTAATTTTTGCATCTTGGATCGTGGTGGTCCTTGTTCAGCATCATCACTCTCATCATCTTCTCCTTGCTCGTCCATATCATCGTGATCAACTTCGTCCTCATCTCCAGAATCCGCATCAGTTTCTTCGGCCTCATCATCTATTAAATCATCCTCACTATCTTCTTCCTCTTCATCAGATTCCGCCACCATACCATTAAGCATTTCCTCTTCAATCTCAGAATCCGAAATATCTTCGAGATCTCCGTTCTTGGCGAGTCTTTGAGGTAATCCATTCACGATCACTTCCTCCTCGTCATCACTTTGACCTTCAACGTAGATGACACCCTCATCATTATCCTCGCTGTCTAATCCCGATCGATTTTGCATGCCTCTTCGTAATTCGATTTGTGCGTCCAACATATCCAATTTGCCCTTCAAAGATAAGAGATGTTGTAAAGCTTTTGATCTCTCATCGAGAACTCTGTTGACCTCGGACAACTTCTTGATGAGACCTCTTTGAGTTGCCAAGTAACCACCATGTGTAATCATTGACCATTGAACCCAAACCATGAGACTACCAGCTCTACCAGGTCTCCTATGTAATCTTTCTGCCAACTTTTGTAGTAAGATTGCAGCGAGAGGAGAATCGAGTCTTTGAATTGTGGCTCTAATCGTACTGAGATCCGTCGTGTGTAGGCAGGATTCCAACAAGGCGACATCGTTTGTCTTGAGGGCTTGAGTAAGAACTGTTCCGAGGGATGCGCCAGAAGGAGCCTGGATGGAATTTTGAGGGTATGAAAGGGTTTGAGATTTAGAATCTGCGAAAGCGGCGGCAACATCGATAGGTTCCGAGGCGTTTGCTCGAACAAGATCTCCGAATGTTGGTTCTCCATCTTCCTCGGCAGCTTCAGCTCCTTCATCTCCCATTGTCACATCTGCGTTGACATTGCCATCTTCTTCGATATCACTTCCATCCTCCTCTACTTCCTCCATATCATCGTCACTTTGTTCTTCCTCGTCGCTGGATATTTCAACCACTTCGTTCTTCTTCGCTCCGTTTGTCTTCACCTTGCTTGCAGCTCCTCCGCCCGATACCACAGTTTTCGATTCATCCAAGTGACCAGTTCCAAATGACTTCACACCTTGCTTGACCATTGGTTGACCAAGCTTGGTCGGGAGCTTTCTCTTGGTCGACATTTTGTTGGTTGGTTGGTTGTGCGACGTACGAAAGAGGGTGGAAATTTGGATACGACGAAAGTTAGGTAGATTATCTCGAAGTGAGGAATTGGCGGACAATCAGTGAACGGTCTTCCGAAAGAGAATTGATTGAAAAAGTCGAACGTGAATTGGACGTGATGACCCAATTGAGATTATACGAAATCAATACGCTATAGTTTCAAATGGTGGTGGTGCTGAATGAGGTGAGGTATAGTCTCTACCATTGAAGCTATCAAACCAAAACTTCAAGAAACTTTTTTCTACCCAAGATAGAAAAAATAAATCTCGATCACGTGGAGTGGCTATCGTGAGCACCAAAGAGTCGATGCGGGCCAGATAAGGTGGATCCGAGAATGGAAATGTGGCTTAATTCTGTTGTTGATGCTGCAGTGATTGGCCCAGTAGATA